ATACCTCCGTCTTTGTTGATGTTTCTCGGAGCCTGCTGACATACCTTCATGCAGGGCGCAGTATTGAAAGGTTCTGCTGTATTCAAGTGCCACTTTGGAGACGACGAGCACGTCGTGACATTCAGGTACTTAGTGCTTCATAGTCTGTCTAAATTACGCCGTGTCGACATGCTGATGACTCATTAGAACCAGCTACGCTAGAGCCTGAGGTTTCACGAATAACATTGGAGGGAGTGATATTTCACCATTGCATCATCGAGTTTGACCAAAAGGTTCTCGATTAAGCAAGATCAGGGCCGCCCCTTGAGTCATTGATTCCATTTCCTTTTTTCTTGCGTTAAACTCTTACCCTTTCACCTTTCAACGAGAGCGAACGGCTCAGGCTCCGTTGCGCGGCACTCGCCTTTCCTACCGTCTGAGCAGATGAATGGGCTTTCACCCCCATACGATTGACGAGCCTGATCAGGTCACCTGTCGGCCTCGCTTAGTTATTCAGTCCGTCCACGACGTTTCACTGCTGTGGGGCAGACGTACCTCTGAGCTCAAGGATGAACCCCAGAAAGTGGATGAAGTCACTTCTATCTAGCTGAGGAAAATGCAGGTACGCTCTCAACAGCAGAGGGACGAGCTGATCTCATATTATCAGCATGATTAACTTTAGATCATCGCATCTGGCATCCGCTACGTTGATTTGAGGGAGCCACAGAGGGATCGCCTTCGGCAGAAGCGTCGCTGTGGGGCTACTTCCCTCCTCGATTGAACATCGTTATTCGCGAGCGGTCTACGATTTCGTAAACAGCTGGCATCTTCGTGTGAGATTGCCATGGGTGGTTTTTTGTTCCCGTTTTTTCTTTGTACTGTGCTGGTGATGGATGAGTGTGCGATGAGGATCTCAGGGATATATCTCATCTAAGGAGGTACGTCAAAGGTTTTCGAGGAGTCTGGGTGGTTCCTTTTTTATGGCGAAGCGAAGAGTCGTGAAATCATCAAACGGTACGAGTTGCGACACTCGCAGCCGACTGCTGGTACTTCCAGTCTCACGCTCCATGTCCTCGTCACCACGTATGACAACGTGAGCGGCTCCAAGGACTTTACGTCGGTCTTCAAGAACGTTGATCGATGGGAAACCTTGATCATAGATGAGGGCCAGCGGCCTTAGTTCAAACATGCTCTAGTTAACTGAGGAAAAATGCTGACTTCGTTGCATCTTGCAGTCAAAAACGACGGCAGTCTCCTTTTCAAGAAGTTGAATGAGCTCAACACTATCCATCGCATAATCATGACAGGGGTACGCTCGCTTTACCTGTCGCATTTTGCTTATTTCTTGATCTCCGAGGTCCCAGACTCCTCTGAACAACAACATGCGTGAACTGTTCAATCTCATGAACTTCCTCGACCCAGACCAATGGAATGATCTTGCTGCGCTCGAGAAGGAATATGATCAAGAAAACCTAAACGAAGAATCGGTGAAGGCCCTACATGAGAGGTTAGGTCCGTATTTCCTGAGACGGGTCAAGGCCGAAGTGTTGAAGCTGCCGCCTAAGGTATATAATGTCCAATCGACGACGCTGTGGCTCAACTGAAAACACCTGTCTATTCTCCCAGAACGATGTCATCGTCCCGTTGTCCCTCACTCCTTTACAGAAAGAGCTGTACAAATCCGTCCTCAGTACGATCATATCCCAGGCAACCTTTTCTTTCCTGTGCTCATAGTCTATCTAGGCAAAAATGTCACCCTCCTCACCAGTTTAACGCGTTCGCTCGGACAATCTGTTAAGGGAGCATCAAACAAGTCGAACATAACGAACATTCTCATGGAGTTACGAAAGTAAGCTCATGCCCCGACTTTGTCTCTTCATTTTGACCAAATTCTTGACTTGTTTAGGTGTATTCAGCATCCCTACCTTCTCTCCCCTGATATCGAACCCAGAGGACTAAGCCAGCAGGGGACACATAAGCGTTTAATCGCTGCTAGTGCCAAACTTCGTCTGCTGGAGGTCCTCTTGCCGAAGCTGAAGGCGCGTGGCCATCGGGTGCTCTTGTTCAGTCAAGTATACAACTATCCTGGTCACTACTCTTTATCCTACATCTAATGTGTATTGTACACAGTTCGTCATTGCTTTGGACATCATCGAAGACTTCATAAATGGGGAAGGGTTCAAGTACCTTCGACTGGTTGGTTCATATCTAAGTCTTGGGCCTTCAGATGCTAATAGGCATGAATATCATCTCAGGACGGGAATACGAAGCAGGCCGATCGCCAGAAGAGCATGGACGAGCTCAACCGTCCGAACTCTGATGTATTTATCTACCTCCTCTCTACACGAGCTGGTGGTGTCAGAATCAATCTCTGGAGTGCGGATGCTGTAATCATCTTCGATCCAGATTTCAACCCCCATCAGGTCTGTAACTTTTCTTTTAGACCCTCTTTATGAAGCTAAACATGTCCACAGGATCTTCAAGTACGAGCCATGGTTGTACTGCATTCTGAGTTTGATTTCTAACCGTGTCACCTCCAGGCTATCGCACGGTCTCATCGATACGGACAAACGAAACCATGTCTCGTCTTCAAGTTGATGGCCAAGGACACAGCTGAAGGTAAGCTGTTCTCTGTACTTTCCACTCCCTTCTTCTTTCTGACATGTCATAACAGAGCGAATCGTTCAGAACGGCAAGAAAAAGCTCATACTCGACCACGTTATTGTGCAGAAGATGGACGACAAGGAAACCGGCGAAGACGTCTCTTCCATCTTAACCCACAGTGCTCGAGCTCTTTTCGAAGAAGGGGAGGGAGCCAAAGACATAACGTGTACGACTACATGACTTCTAGAACCTTTCTCGTCTCATGCTGAATTATATGTATAGATTATGAAAATGACCCGATGACCTGATCACCAAGACCGAGAGAGAAATCACTCAGGAGGAGCAGGTTTCATCGGCTATGACCTTCTCGTTCGCGAAGGTCTGGGCTTCTGATAAGGATGGTCTGGAAGAGATGGCGGATGAGGAGGCCGATACTGAACAAGCAGACTTGTGGGCCCAAACCCTCAAACGCATCGAAGACGAACGCGCTAAGCTGCAAGCCATGGACCTCGCCATTGGTGATCGCCCCGCTCGTCATACAGCCGCAATGGCCGTGAAGTCTCAGGTAAGCTTTCTCATCATCGTCTAAAACCGTCACGGGTTTCACTAACATTTGTTATGTTCAGCAATCTATCGACCTTGGGGACACACCCAAGAAGAAGACTAACGGTCAGAAGCGCAAACAGTCGAAGTCGACAATATCTGACGAGTCAGAGGGCTTTAAGCGCTCTGTGGCATCTGCGATTTCCGATGGCGATACGACTGATTCGGGCGTGGTCGACAAATTCATTCCAAGGACGAAGAAGGCGGCACGGCCGTCGACTGATGCATCAAGCCCTCACCCAGTAGTTCAAGGCTCGGATGCTTCTGCAGTATATGCAATAGCATTCATTGCGGGCCTTGCAACATGATGGACAATCCAGAGAACTTGGCTGCATATCGACTAGCTTTGTTAACGAGGGCGGACAACGAACCCATCGAAGAGAAGCTATATCCCTCCTTCCTGCGTCCGTGTTCCCTTATTGATGTTTCTTTCTAGCGGGAGGCCATCACTCTTATTGGAACCGTTCTCAGAGACCATGGAGAGCTTCACCTCATAGACGGCCAACCCCTTCACCTCGTCGAGAAGCCACCGCCGGCGACAGTTTCCGTCAAACAGGCCAATGAAACATCAATGCTGCGTCCATGTCCTAGCGCTCAACCACCTTAGCACCTGCCGTGTCGATTTCCAGATCAGCTCCCGGGAAGCGTGTCTCTGCTCCCGATGTCAGTTCTTCGTCTTCAGCTGCCGCACGTCCAGCGCTGAGTTTCATGAGTAGATTCCAAATCGACCTCTCCGTGAAGCCCTCCATACCAAAGCCCGCGCTTAGCGCTAGCGCACCGGTACAGAAGGGAGTCAATGGAACCGTGTCGAATGTTGCTGCGTCAAGCTCTTCCGCTGCCGGCCGCCCACAGCCGTTGTTATCTTCAGTCAATGCCTTGAAGTCTCAGATGACTCCCGTCTCGAAAACCACGCCTTCGAAGCCAACGGTTTCTAAACAGTCGACGCTGAACGCTCTGAACGGAAATAAACCTTCAACGGCGTCTAAGTTGCCTTCCGCTACACCGAACGTGTCATCATCTTCGAGCGCAGGCCTGGCTGGTATAAAGTATCCTGTGGCGCCGAGTACCGCTGATGAACCCAATCACCCCAAGAAAGCAAAGAATGGCCCTTTGAAGGAAGGGTGTGCTGTTGGCGGTCGTGAGTTCCACCTACTGAAGGACTGCCCCATCCACGCCGCTGGGCCGAAGAGGTAGGTTTTGATCAAAGATTCTTACCCTCCCTACAATTTGACTGACCGACCTTCTACTATATCCCACGCGATCTAAGCAATGGAGGCCCACCCAAGGCATACGAAGACAGTTCAGTCACTGCGCGGGCTTTTACAGCAGCAGAAACGGCGGGAACTCGCGAACTCTGGTGGACTGTAACTTATGAACGTAAATAATGTAGTCTCTTGTACCTTATTGTTACCGCATCTTTTCTTGTCGTGTTCCGGACCCATTGTAACTGCTGAATTAGTATGTACACAGCTGAGTGGTGTCTCATCACCGTCCCATCCTGCGCCACAACAATTACTGGATGTGGCACTGCCATCGTGGAATTCCGGTGGCGCCGTATGGAAAGAGGACGATCAAAATTCGAGCTGTCTGCAGCTGACTGTTCGTCTACCTCGTCTGTCCTTGACACTCTCATCTTCTGAATTAGAGTCAGCCTCGCGCAGTTCTCTCAGTCTAGTATTCGCGGAATTGCCATCTCTTATTGGGTCTCTGCGCGAGCCCGAACCTGATTCAGAGTGTCATAAAACAAACAACGTTCCTTGTCTCAGTCGCGAGTGCCGAGAACAGGCAACGATCGTGGTGCGTGTCATAGGGATCCCGCATCGATACGGAAAACTGAAGAATGCAATAGCTATTGTTTTATTGCTAGCTCTACGAATTCCACGTCCTTTGTGACGCACTGTGCTCTTCCTCCCCCGTCCCCTTGCGAGTGTCCTTCTCGATGCAGTTTGCGTCCCAAACGCCCGCTACCAACTCTCTCTCGGTCAAACGTCAAAGACTCGATTCAGACGCAGCTTCAAGCATGAGCTCTGACGTATCTTCGGCGTACCAAATGCCTACTCTACCAGAAATCCATGTAAGAAGTTTTGTACTCTATCTTCACTGGAATGAAGCCAACCGGGTCTCAGGGCGATATGATGTTGGACGTTTTCACGCACAGATCGGTGCGGTTTGCTGGAGCGCCTCCAAACGAGGACTTTGGTGATAGTTTGAGGCTCGCGTGTGTCGGACAGAAAGTTCTCGCGCTGGCTGTGACATCTGCCTTGTTCAGTCAACGACCGATCCTCAATGCGTGGACTTTGGAGGTATAACTTTTTGCTTGCACTTTACGGTGCCTCCATGTATCTCTGCTCATAATCAATTCAATACTATCTGGAATATGTCTTCTCAGACTCAAATCGGTGACACCCTTTCAGACTCCAAAATTGACGACTGGATCATTGCGTACAAGATGCGAGACAAGATGCGCTGTTCGCCTGATGCTCGCGACTCGCTCACGGAACCTAAAGTTGTGACGGTTCCTTCTTCATCTGCTTACCGTAACTGATAAAACTTCGTAGGAGACGCTCCTCCTCTTTCATAGTTATGTCGGCGCGGTGTATTTGCAACGTGGCCTTCCGGTAGTGCTAAATTGGATTGGCAAGCTCGTAGACGACAATTTCGAGGACGTCGCACCGGGGCTACCCACACAGCCGGGACAACAATCTCGAAACATTAGACTGCTGAACAACATGAAGCGCATGAAAATTGAGCCTTCTCCCTCTCCGAAGCTTAGGCATATCGAGCCCCCCTTCTCAACACCCCCTCCGCCGCCGCCACAGCCGCCTCCGCCGATTTCAATGGCACCGCCGATGTCAAACGGACACTACGTTCAGGCCTCCCCGACTTATTTCCAGTGCAACCCAGTGCAACCCACGGCCGCCTTCCTCCCTGCATTCAATCAGCTTGCCGCCCAGAGAAAGCACGCGATAGAGTGGCAAGCTCAATCGACAGGACCATCGCACGCGCCTGCGTGGACTGTCAACTGTTTAGGTGGGTGATTTGGACGGTATTATAGCACAGATCAGAACCAAATCGGACGGGGAAGCGGAGTGCCGTTGCTGCATATGTATGTTCATCTCTTTGTGTGTACATGGGCTCGAAATTGTCTGATGGTGAAGGTAGTATACAGGCAACGGCGCTTCCCTTCCCCGTCCAGTCTGGTTCTGCTCTGGCCGCTATGTGTCTGTCCCTTCCTAATGAATGCAATCTAGTCGACGGGTTTCAGAAAGGGTACGGTACTGGCAAGAGTAAGCAGTTGGCAAAGGAAGCCGCCGCGAGACAGGCCTTTCACAATTTGGGCTGGGCTGGCCGTAAGTGTACTCCCGCCCTTTTTCTATTATCGGACTTTACTCAACTTAGTAAACAGGAACCTAACATTCACATCGTTGGTGCTCAACCACCCTCGGTGCCCCGCGCGCCCTTTCCCGCTCCGGACCTCGACGGGATGTCTGCAGTCCTCTGCATTATTGCTTGCATGTACAGGTGTCCTTATAGACTGTTGTTTTTGTGTCGACCATCGCATTAGGGCTTCGTACCATAAAAATGTTGAACTCAATGCGATGGTCTATACAAAAACCACATAGCCTATGTGCAGCACAAGAGGTATCACGACAATGTGTGGCTCTTGTGCCACATGCGCTGGACCAGTAAGCATTCCTACAAATTTCTGCATGTTTTGGGCGAGCTTCCGAGCAGGGAAGGATGCGCGGGGAACCGAGGGTGGTTAGAGTATGCTTCGACGTGTCACATACATGTCTATATCGTGGCACTAGATCCGGTCTTCTTTGCCCGAGGAATTCGTCGACGACACAGCCCACCTCCATATTCTGTATGGAAGCAGGCTGTGTACTTGACGAGCCCCTTGGGAGTGGACAGCTCGGTTTTGCTGCCGTGGTAGTATTTTGCTGTCTGTTTATCTGAGCATCGTTCTCGATTTTTCTCTTCGTCTCATGAAAAGGTTGAAAACCTATTTCTCTTCTACTTTGGTCCATACATTTCGTGTTCATGCACTTGTTGTGTTGCCATTTGTTACTCGGTTGCCGTTCATCTCCCGATCATCGTTCGTCGCTCTTCGGTTGAAGGCAGATAATGCTAAACCGCTAATCGCTTGCTTTGTTCTGCTATCTCAATTATACATGGCATATTTGTTTCAATTCTTTGCTCCCTGTTCGTCCCCCACTCAATAGTACATAAACACTATCTGGAAGCTGACCTCGAAATGGAGACGACATTCTTTGACCCATCCCAGACTATGAACCTCGTCACACTCCCCGCCCCGTTCCCAATGTGCTGCACAGGTGCGACGAAAGACATCGGCGCCATGACCGTCGTACCGGAGGAGTTGGTGGGCCGTAGTGCTTGAGGTCGATCCCTTTAAGATTGGGGCACATTATTGTAGCAAGGGCTGAGAATGGACCGAAACGGAACGAAACAAAAAGAAAAGGAAAAAGAAGAAATGAGATGAAGAGGAGCGTACCGGGTGTGAACGTACCCGCTGTCAACGTGTACCATGAGCAGCAAACTGTTCAACGTGACAGTCGAGCCAGCTCTCCTGCTCTTCAATCTTATTAGGGACACAGAGCTCGACGGTCATACACTAGGTGACACTCTTGAGCTTTCCGGAGGACTCTTCGCACGCTCGTCGACCGGGTTGAAGTGCACGGAGTGGAGAGGCTTGATGACGTGCACAATGAGAAAGAAGAAACAGATGCGTAGCGAGAGACGAGAAGACAAAAAGTAGATGAGAGTACATGGAACAAAGCAGGTCAAAGAAGCGAAGCAAACGTGAAGCATGGTGAAGGCGAAAGCCAACGCGAAAGTGGCCCAACAGCACGCGCCACGCAAGACCGTGTGAAGTCTGCTTGTCGCATGCCGAAAAGAAAGAAGCAAAGAAATCAATTATACACGATCCATTCGTAAACTCATGGAATCGTAACGGCGACCGACTCCGGACGACGACGCGTTTTCATACTCTCTTTTTGTTCCCCACATCCTCGACGCCAAGACCTCCGGTATGCAAGTAGGTTCCGTTCCTCTTCTTTCTTGCGCTTCGTTGTGGCGTGCCTTCGCTTTGCTGATACTTCCGTTTGCTTTCCGCTGAGAAGGATCACCTACCTATTCTTGACTCGCTTGACGGCCCTCCCTTTCGGCCATTCGCGAGCACTCACCACTATATCACTCAAAACCGCTATATCACCAGTAATGATTCTCGAGGGTACATGTGAGTGTGATTATTCTTAGCGTTGCAAATCTCTCCGACGCTGATGCGGTCCTAGACCCGTGTACGAATATTCCTTGAGAGATCAGTGGATCATGATGGATGCGGATGATGGTTATATTCTTTGGACAGGTATCTGGAAAGGTGAGCCTCATCTCATCTCCTCTGGTACGCGTACACAGCTCATCACCTACATCTGTCTCAGCTCTTGGAAACCGCAAAGGTCAGTTCATGTCATGGTTAAGACCTCCGAACCCTGCCCGTTACAGTTCATTCATGCTGTTATTCTATAATTCCACTCGTGTATCAAACCGTGGATCGATTTCAGCGGACATCATCAAGATGATCGAGTCCCAGCCTGAGTTAGCCTGTCAAATTCGAAGAATAAGAGGAGGTTATCTAAAGATCCAGGGAACCTGGATACCTTATGAGGTGCGAGCACACTCTATTCATATTGTTTGCACGAGGCTGACCCTTACGTTCACAGTTCGCACTTCGACTGTCTCGTCGGTATGTTGGGCTTTGATGTATCTCCGAACGGCAACATGTTTTGACTGTACTCATGATAGCGTGGCTTTCGCCATTCGCTTTGATTTAGTTCCCCTTTTCGGGTGCGTTCTTTCTTTGATCGTCTCGAACTCGACTTGATGCCCATTTACAGACCCACATTTCCGGACACATGTCTAAGACCAGACCAAGCTGGCTACGGTCAGGTCGTTCCAGGTGGAACCAGTCGCCGCCGGACACGACGTGTAGCCCAGAATCAACATCTATTTGCAACCGATACAGATGTTTCTAGCGGGTGGACTGTCTACTCACCGCCCCTCGACCAACCTCCTGTCTTAATCGACGTGCGGTCAGCATCTCATTTGTCTAAGTACATGCGACGATCGACCTCTTACACAGCAACTCAACCGAGCCACCCTTATCCCCCTTCGCCTGCTCATCCTGCTGACGGGGGACCAGAGAGTCACGCGCATATCCGGCCGAATAGCCGAGGCCCTAGCTACTTGCCTTACCCTGGTCCGCCTTCCTCGGTCTACACTGGGCCTTACGGATACCACCACTCTTCTTCCATTGACGTACCACAACCCGCCTTAGCCTATCCTTCTGGTGCGTACCGTCAAGCCGCTACCGGCAACAAGATACCAATCGCTCCCGTGCAAGCCCCTGGATCCCCCAAACAATACCATCAATCATCCTTCTCCTTGCCACCCATCTCCGTTCTAACTTCAACCCCACCAAGCTCTACTAACGATCCCAGAGCTGTTCTTCATCGTTTGAGGTTTGGAGACGATAACACTGGCTCCGACCAGTTTCAACCTCCCTCATGAGATCAACTCCGGCAACGGCGGCGTTCGATCTCCCAACCACCCGCCGTCCCGTGAGTGGTCCCTAAGGGTTCAATACTTGTATCTTGAATTCTTCATCAGAACTCTTCGGAAACGCTGACAGGCTTTGACGCGCCCTGAGTCGGGGCCGAAGACGTGGTGAGCTCGTGTCAGGGCGCTTCAGGCAGCTCAGGGTCTCTCAGAGTGCCCAGTGTACAATTGATTGAATTGAACGAGATCATAAGCAGTTATTGACATTATTGCATGAGATGGGTTCGACCGCAAGGCTAGTCTAGCGGGGAGCTCATCCTAAATTACAATCCACTGCTATGCTATTGCCGTCTAACATTACATTGCCGGTACACAGTCTGGTGCAACTTGAGCAAGACCAAGTAGCAGTGCTCCAGATATAGTTGCGTTCCAGATTGTGTCAAGGAGGCGAGATACCGAGAACCAGCATCTTCGAAGCGATAACGTAAGGGTTGTAACAGAGCCTACGAGATACAGACGAAGACGTCACGTGGTGATGTTCGACTTTCACTGGAGCGCACTGGCACCGCTCTTGTTCTCTCCCTCAGTCTCCCTCCTCCCGTCTTTCGTGTTTGCTCTGGGTGATCGTGTCTTGCCTATTGTGGTTTAAACTGAACTCAAGTATGTTTTTCCTGTATTTTGGGGCCTCAATGAAGTCTGGTTGTCTGTATTGGAGTCCAATCGAGGAAATTAGCCACAGACACACGGCAATCTCGTGCAATAGTAGATAATGTTCTATCTGATTGGCCTCGGTTGAACTCCAATCGCGTCGAATCGGGTTGGTAAGTGTTGATTCGCGTGTAATCGAGTCTTTTTGACATCCGATACACCTCTCGATTTTGTGATTTATTGGACTTAGATGTAGTGTAACGGAATGGAATGGACTGCATTATTCCATTGCCGTCTGTCCTGCTCCGTTAGGCTCTTTTCCGAGGGCCCCTTTTTAAAACTTCGTTAAAGAAGAAAATAATAGATTGAACTTCGTAAAACTGAAGCTCGATAGAACGTGAGCGCGCTCAAAGTCTCCTAAGAAGCTAGATACGAGTCCACGCAGGGCTTTCGATTGCGATGCGCGCCATGGACGCGAGATTTTCGTCTTTTCACCTCCATTGGAGTCTGTTCGAATATATTCGAAAAGATCCGAGTAGATTCGCGTCGAACGGAGTTGAATCGCGTCCGTTTACGTAGATTGCCATACGATCGAGTACGTCGGCCTCCGATGGAGCTTAATGGAGTATAATAGTCTCCGGAAAAAATAACGCTGTGATTAAAGTCCTAGGAAAACCTTCATACTTACCCTTGTTTTTGTCGCCAGGCAGCCTCACTATCTCACTCTTTGTTTGATCAAATGACTTCCTCCAAGCTGTCTACACGCGCTCCCAGAGGTCGCCCTAAAAATTCGAAAAAGACCTCAAAAACGTTCGTTTCCGGAGACGCGTGCCTCGCTGGTGTTGCAGCCACAAGGGAACAATGGCTGCTAGCCCAAAGCACCACCGATAATTACAAACAATACGTGAAGAGGGGTAAGGCATGGCTACAGATGTGGCAGAAGGCAGGGAATTCACTCAAGGACGAAGATGGACTGGACTTGCCCGTAGCCGACGCCCTCGACGACATCAGTGATCTAACACCCCGAGTGTTGTTGATATATCTATTCCACAAGTGTGGGCAAGGTGTCGAGGAAGCCCAGGGACTTGGCTACGCAACAGCTTCAGGAGTTCATGCAGCGTTTAAGGACTACTTTGCAAAGTTCGTCAGGTTCCAAAATCAGAGTTGCTATCGGCTCACTACTACGTTCATCACAGGGTTCACGGTCGTTATGAGGATTATTGGCGATTGAATACCTACACCAAAAAGTGGGAAGGAAACCCTATGTGCGATTCCTCCATACGAGAATTCGTCGAGTCCATCAAAAAGCGAGATCTTCGTACACGTGATAAAAATCGGGCTCAGGCAATCTTTCCCTCAGATCTGAAGGCCGCATTCGAATACCTAGACAGCGAAGCTGGAATGTCCGAGTATACCGAGACCGAACGCCTTTTTTTTAAGGGATTTTCAACTACCGCCTTTCGACTCATGGGCCGGTATGTTAGCACGTTCTTTGATTTCAACAAGTATAGCTCACTCTGTGTGTCTCACCATGGAAATGATGGTTAGATGGGATGACGTAGCCACTATGGTCCGAGGCGGTTTCTCCGAAGAGAAAGACTCAATCGATGGAACCCCGTTTCATCATCATCGTTTGCACCGAAAAAAGACGGAGAAAGACCCTGAAAGCGGTGAGTATTCACTCTGAGGATTTTCCCATGCTGATGCTTACTAGTTGTGGTCTATTTGACAGCCCGAGATATGTATATACCTCAAAATGTATCCCAACCTGAACTCGACGCGTATACTCATCTCAACGCGTGGATAAAACATTTGGAAATCCGTCGCGGTCGCGCTCTCAACGACACCGATCTCGTCTTTCCTTTGGTATCGAAGGCCAACATCGAAGTGTCGACTTCAGCAAACTTTTATACGTGGAAGGTTATCTTCGCTCCTATCTTCAAAGCATCGGGCTTCAGTCGAGGAAAACTAGATGCGCAGCTCAGTTCACATGGTTTTCGCCGGGGTGCGGCACAATATTATTTCATGCATGCACCTGTGTGTCTAAGCCTCAAAGCAATCAAATGGTGGGGAGGATGGTCTGATTCCGAACGGGTAAATCAGATTGTATCTCATTCCCAGCTCCATTCTTCAAAGCTAATAATCTTCTGACACTCGCCAGGTGGAGACAATCATACGATACCTGTTGAATCAACTAAGTGATGCTGAGGATGGGTTTTGCGATGTTTTTATGCCAAGTAGACGTGTGGATCGTCAAGCAACCTTTGGAGGATTGAAATCGTTGTCACGTCCGCAGGCTCAAGACCATCCAAGCGCAAGCGTCAGTGACGGAAAACTGCACACGCTGGAGACAGAAATCAGCCGGCTCGTGGCGATGGTGGAAAAGCTTTCGGTTACTCGTGAGTACTATTTACTGTATCTCCATTCTTCGATTCCTTGAAAACTTCTCAGTGCAAGGAGGTTGTGAGGTGATGGGAGTACAATCTTCGTCATACCCGCAGACCGCAGTAGAAGGTAAACGGTTACGATCTGAAGCAAACGTAAACGGGCTGATTAAAGTTGTATGTTATTCAGACGAGTTGATGGACATCGAGCCTTCTGTCTCTCCATCTGTAGGCATTGACAGATTAGATCACCCAAAAAATGAACTTGAACCGCCTCAAGGCTCACCGACCTTACCATCGCAATCACTTGGTATTTGTTCCGTGCTGTGTCCATTACGGTATTCTAATTGTACCTCCGTAGGTTCCGCTCCGATTCTCCCTGATCATAGGCGTGAAGATCTTGAGTCTCAATCCAGTGATCTGGCGATGCCTGGCAACAGTACGTTCTCGGTCCTTCCTACGCTCCAGATACATTCTAAGATTCTTACTCAATAATCACGGTTAGGTTCATCTAATATCGTTTCCTTACCTCTCAAAGACCCCCAAGATAGTGTGCGCCCTTTGCCAACTCTTTTTTGTCCCGAATCTCCCGGTCAAACGGTGCGACCTAGGGGACTCGCTAACTCATGTCCCGAGTCTGTTGGGTTAAATGATCATTCGCCGGCCAAGTCTTCCGCCAGCTCTCCAACACTTACCGGCCACCATCCGACTCCAACCACTCTGCTCCTTACCAACCTGGTAGCTCCGTCTTGCGTGGCAACACCGGCTTCTTCTGAAAGCCAAATCGACATATCTCCAATCAACTCTTCACTTTCCAACACCCAATTCTCTCTATCTATGGTTGCCACATCCCCAACGACTTCGTTGCCTTCCACTTTGTCAGGTGGTCCTACCGTGGGCCGTGGGACGTTAGGACGATTGACAGACTGGAAAGAGACCTTTAAGGCTTGGGAACATGGTCAAAGCGAGGCTCTGGGAGTCATTGCGCCGTTGCGCTTATGGCAGAAGAAATACGGGGATACCCTCACGACTGCAGAGCTGAAGAAGTTGAACACTATACGACTCATCTACGACGATTTCAAATCCCAGTACAACGGCGACGAAGCCGTTTTCGAACGCACACTGGCCGGGGAGGGCCCCAACCAGAAGAACCTAACTTGGACGCTCATTGAAACGGGGCTTCGTAGATTGCGCATGGAGAGGGGCGAGACTCGGTCTCGTGGGATCAGGGCCACACGCGACAAACATACTACATTGGAGTTTGAAGGAGTCAAAAAGCGTAGAATTCCCGTGACGGCGACGAAGGGGTCGTAGGTCGGTTTTCATCTTGGAGCATTTTATCTCGAGTCTAAACGCCTCTGTAACAAAATTGCTGTGGGACCTGAGCCACGCCACACGAACGCCACAGAAGGTGACAGGCTTGCATGGTCGTATACCTCCCTTCTTCAAACTTGTCTCTCTTCCTCCCGAGTCCTCGTTCTTATTTGCACCGTGAACATCAAAAAAGAGTTGGGTTTCATTTTATATACTCCGTGTTGCAGTATTTTCGTAAGGTGCATCACCACAGTGAGTATGGTATCGAGCACAAAAAAAGACATTTACTCCGTGCCAGGTGCTCCTGCGGCAAGCCGTAGTGCCACACATATAATTACCAACCAAGTACACTGTCTTCGCGCTCCGGGAGTTTCTGCCCCCTGATGAAACCCTATGTACTCAGGTCACATCAAAGCGAAATGGAAGCTGCAATAACCGGACAGAAGTCCCTCGTCCATCCCACTTAAGGCGCAGTCCACAGACAAGTCTGTGTTCTTTCCAATCCCTACAGGCATGAATAGAAGTCAGGGACATGTGAAAGCACACGGAAAAAAAAACATACTGTTTCTGACACGACACGCCGCAGTATGATGTCAAGTGGCACGCTTTACATCGGAAGTGCCATCGTCGACTGCAGCCTCGTCTTTGACACCCTTTCGCTTCCTCACATAGACGCTCCATTACGAGATATCGTTCCAGGATTGTAGTGGGTACATTTTGAGGCGAAGGTGTCCTGATCGATTGGAGGGATTGCATAGGTGGGTTGCGAAGCAGCCTAAGGCAGCTGACCAGGGTCGAAGGGCGTGGGTACTGGTCACGAAAAAGTGTGATGAGACTTGGTTTTTTTTTGAGGATGAGATACAGTGCATCAAGAAGCAGATTTGCGTAGTCTTTTTTACGAGAGAGTCCATTCTAAGTCAATAACATCGTTCGAAAAGCTCAGAGTCAAGAAGAATAACTCACACACACCCTGAGGGTGCAGGTATCCATGTTTGATAATGACATCAACGGTATCCAACAAGTGTGCATCCCGACACACTCGGATGAATGTTTCACTTTCATGAATCCACCTTGCACTCAATGACTGCATCAATTCGACCATCATTTCCATGACGGGAATTGTCAGTGTCCGTCTGTCGTTAAGCACAGGCGGCTGCGCAACTGCCCCACTCGGTTCAGCAACAGCCGATAACAAAGATTGGAATAAAGGGGTCGAACGACACAAGGCCCGGATGAGATCGGCAGAAGGCCCGTGATTTGATGGTGCGACGTGGATTAGCGAGCCTAGGAGTCGAGAGACCTTTATGATTTGATTCACACCACGAGTGCGAAGGCCACGACTAAAGCCGTCGGCGAATGCGTCTGCAGACTCCTCGGGCATTCCCTGCAGTAACGAGGAGAAGATATGGCCTGGAGGAGGATACACTGTTCTCTGAGCATGAAGGTCGCCTGGCAGTTTCAAATAGGGGCGAAGTATCTCGGTGAGGCAAGTGACCGACGTCGTAAAATCAAGGAGTTCTGTGCTGTTGAGCAGAATGCGTGATATCACGGAAAGTGAACGATCTTCTGGCTTGCTGATTATACTGTTTTGATGTCAGAGAAAATGTGGGGTGAGGATGAAGTTGACACGGACGAACCCTAATAATCCCGGTTCACAGCGTACCATGGTGAGTACTATACCGACTATAGTGGTGCGCTCCCTACTCCTTCCCGGCCTTAAAGTATTTTGTGGCTTTTCCCATATCTGATATATGGGTCAGCGAGCACTTATACCTTATGTCCTAGAGTCAGAAGCGTCGCAGACTAACCTGTTGGAAGATGTTATGCCAGTGTGCTTTCACTGTGCTCACAAAAGTTTTCTGACACGGAGATAACGGAAGTCGCAGTTTCAGGGAGGCTTCGGCGAGGACTGAGAGTGGACCAAAAAAAGAGGATGTCTTCTGTCGAAGAATGGGCGATTTTAGAACGTTGCAGTGCCAGGGATACAGCGATGTCTTACGTTGTCTTCGAGGAGTTGCGCTTCCCGAGTAGAAGGCCCATAGGAATGCTTAGATGATTCTGGGGTGCTTTTGATTACCGCTTGGCATAATGCCTCTACGATCCTCTCTTTGACAAGAGACTCCCATGTTTGACTCTGTTTTTTTGCCTCTGCAGACAAGAAGTTGAGGACGTTGGGAGTACCCTAAAATAACGAAGATAGCCTATGAGCATTTCTGCCTGTCTTTGACGCGGAGAAAGAAACCCTCAATACTTACTTGGGTGAGAGTCATATAAAGTGAGGGTGATTCGAAATCCGGGCTACCGAGCAAGATCTCCAGCCAACGTTGTGAGCGGCCACTCGAGTCGCTGAATGGTTGTCATTCATGATCAAAACTGATTAGTTTCGACATGATATGCCAATATTAATAAGATCGTACACTCACTTGTCATGATCCAAACCGTTGTGTATGAGGTCCATGTCGATTGCCCTGGAGATGGAAGTGATATGGTGTTGGGTTGGTGTTGATTCAATCTGACGCAGGAGGGTCGTTAGTCAGGAATTCGAAGAACGCGATGGGAATATGCTCGCCGCAAACCGCATGCACGTTACTACATCAGCAAGGTCGCACGCGTCTGGACCAGGCCGTCGAGGTGGTCTCCAGAGCTTCCAGGGTCACAGACAAGCGCTTGAGCCCAGAAAGACCAATGCGCGACTAGGAGGTTGTCTGGGATCACAATCGTCATCTGGAGCATCTGGAGACAGACATCTCCAGTCATTCGGGCTCCAGCATGAATGCTCAAAATGCTCATGTTCAGTCTATTTACATGATGCTACGCTACGGCGATATCAAACAACGTTCATATGTACAAAACTATCGCCCCCTATGACTCTCTTACTACCACCGGCTCAACTACTGAAGTGCTGCTAACAATGCTAGGCCTATCCACCACCTCAACACTCTTCGATGTCGATACTCAACGGACGTCGATCTGCAGCGTGGTTGTGAACGTAGTCGCACACGATGCAGTACTGGATCTGAGGGATGGGCTCACGGGTGGGATGTGCCTGCAGGGAGTAGGAGCATCAAGGCCTATAACATATATCGTAAGCACGAGCAAATGTAGATGGTGATGTGACCGTCTTACCTTGTGGTCTGTGATGATGAGCTCGACAAGATATTCGATGAGCCCATCGCGCGTAACGGGCGGCGGTTTCGTAGAAGGCTTCAAGTGCGGGTCGAGGGACGACTGGATGGATGTGCTATACGAAGTGATTAGCATTACACAAACGGCAACGGTGAGGATTACTGAGGAACTTACGCAGCATGTTTGATTGTCTTAGGTATGGCACGCTCCTTGACCTCCAGGCCAAGTTCCTCACACCGTCTCTTGTAGACCGCGAAATGATCAACATTCCTAGAAAGTCATAGTCAATGTGGTATGCCCGAAGAAGGGAGAAAAAAGAACTTACCGGGCGATATGGGTACGACATGTTGTACTGTTCCCTTTGTACAACTACTTCGATGCCCCTTTCTTCCTATATCAAGCTCGTCAGTATAAACGCAGTACATGTAGGGTGGGTAACGTACTTGCAAACCATACACCTCATACCTCCCTTCTTCTCCGGTACGAAGATAGTGCGTATGTCCTCGGTAGCATCGACCTTTTTCGGCTTCTTTCCGGCCTACATAGAAAAAGATTAAGCTTGTGGAGTACTATAGAAGGCGAGAAGCGTACCTGGCGATCCGCCTCCGCAAACGCTTTCATCTCCTCGTACGTATAACCCATTTCCTAGTTACCGGCATCTTCAACCGCTTCATCATCCTCGGCTTCATCTTCGTTCTCATCGTCATCTTCCTCCTGCAGATCGTCCGCATCGTCCTCCAACGCACCGTCCTCCCACGCACCGTCCTCCGACGTACCAGTCTCACCACCGATATCCTCATTACCCTCAACACCCGTCACATCTTGAACGCTGTCGCCGCCCCCACCCGCGCCTACAGCTTCGTCCTCATCATCCGAAACATCCTCAAGGTCCGGAATTTCATGATGATCGAGGTTGGAGTCGGCAGGGACATAGGCGGCGGTAGCGTGGACGGGTTTGGGCGCAGTGGTATTTGCCACTAAGGTCGCAGCACTGGAGGCACCAAGGGTGGTGGTGGTGGATGAGATCGCGCCTCGCTTCACTGAACGAGGGTGAGGTTTCGCTGGCGCTGACAGAGATACAAGCGTCAGTAAGTACGACGAAAAACAGAGGTAGCGAAATTGAAAGTGCACCATCTACAACATCTTTTTTGGTGTTCGCATTGGTCTTGGTGGCGACTATGAATCGAAACAATAAGCATAAGTCAGCGAAGAATGAAAATAAACAAACGGACCTTTGGTTTTGGTGCCATTCTTACCAGGAGCCGAAGCGTTGGTGGATTCCGCACCTGCTCGTGCGCGATTAGTAGACAGAAATAGATAAACAATATAATCACACACCTTTCGCCGTCTTGTGGTAGCGGAAATGGTCTTCGTCTGCTTGCGCTTCTTGGCGGGACCTTGCGCCGGAGATGGCGAACGCGACGAGCGTTTTCCTGTAGGACGACATGGCACATGAGACTGTACAGGTTGCAGAGAAAGAAGATGGACGTACGAATGGTAACCTCGGCAGGCTCAGAATTGTTCGGGTCAGCGACTCGAGGTTTCGCTGGTCGACCCGTGCGGCGTTGACCCCCAACGACCTGGGCCGGTTTGCCGAGCACGTCGAGTAGACTCTTCTTTTTCTTGAGGGGTTGAGAAGCGGTGGAAGAAGATGTAGTCATCGCAGAGGTGGGACTGGACGAAGAGGAAGCGATAGGCGTCACATCATCCGGGTCATTGAACCATGTAATCTTGGACGCGTCGAGGAGCTCCCCGTCTTTACCAACGGCGCATTGATCAGGATTCGGAGCAGCGGGCGCTGTGATGGGTGAGGTAGCCTTGGTAGTAGACATTTTGGTGAGCACAAAGAAGGGTTTGACAAGTCACGAAACTGGGAGAGTCTGAGAAACGGGGACCAGACGGGCTTACCGTTTTGAATCCCGAGACTCAGCCAATTAAAGAAAGATTCCTCGAGAGCGTGCTGGAATCATCGTACGGGAAACCAACTACATGTCCGAATCGATCCGCCCATCTGCGAGAGAGGTCGTCTAAGATGGTTCGGGTAACGAAATATGATTTTCCTGACAAATTCGAAATGAAGGCAGTGAGGATAGGAACAGGAAGGTCCCGAATTGAAATAAACAACAAAGCGGGCGTACCAGTAAAAGATAATTGTAAAGCTGCGAGAGCGTACTATTAACACTATATAACGCTCGAGTACATAGCCTGCTCGAGGAAGTGCATGAGATAGTTCAACTTACTTGCTTGAAGGCGACCCTGAGGCTTCTTGAGCGGACACGGGAGCTCGGGGCCTGAGCACAACGAGGGTAAGGTCCTCAATATTCTGGAATGCGCTTGAATTTGTCGCCGACGAGCTTGGCAACAGACCCGTCGATGATGGTAGTGGTAACGAGAAGAGAGATGACGCGGCCGAAGTTACCTTGCTTAAAGGTCTTTCGCGACCTGGTAATGGCGTAGGCTCGGACACAGCCGGGCTTCGAACTCCGCGCAACCGTGGTCGAAGACCGGCTGGGCACAAGTACTCGGGTGACGATTGCTCGAGGGCCCCGTGGGAAAAAAGACTTGTTCATTTCGCGCGTCGCGTTCGCTGGCAGGCTCTCGACACGCTCTCTCGTCTCATTCTCTCTCTCAGTCTCTCATCGACTCCGGGCCAAACCCATCATCTTTCGCTCACCCTATCAAATTCAAGGCTCTAAACATGTTGAATAATATACAGGCATGCGACTATACATCAAAAAGAACAAGAACCAAGGCCAAAAGTCAAGACAGGGACCCGAAGCTCACACGATACGCATGGGCAGATACGAGATGGTTGAAGGAACAGAAGGGCATGCGGAAGGATGTATGAGTTATTGGGTATGTGACATCAAGGTGCGCTTGGTGAATTTTGGTTTTGAGGTGTGTGTGGGTTCGAGGGGGTAGTATTCGACGGTGTGGCGTGGCTTGAGGACGCGGCACAGTGCGCCAGATACGCCAGATACTGCGCGTGAGCGTGGGCTTGCGCTTGGGCGTGTGCTTGCACTTGGTAATAGTATTGAGCGTATGCTGGTGTCCATACTGCAGGTGCTGCAGTGTGGGTATGATGGGCTGGGGCCTGTCGAGCAGGTAGCGAGGTGGCGGTTGACTCGTTCGCTACGGAGCTTGATGCTTGCGCAGGTAGATGGTATCCTGTCCAAGGTCCCGACAAACCATGTCGAGATGGGTATGGCTGGTTTGGCGCATTTTGATGATGAACAGTGGTCGGTGGTGTTGCATTGTGCAGAGCTGGTGGGTGGTGATTGGACGAAGTCGTAGTCGGTGCCACACCATGTGGATGATTGTCAGAGGTAGATCGCGAATCGCCACCATCGATGATAGCTGTGGCGTACTGAGCCGTGCTTGGACGATAATAGGAAGACGTTGACGATGGTGGGATGATGGACGTCTCCGTCGTATGCGGCCGATAATGTGTACGAATAGCTGTTCCTGCAGGTGGATCAGCAGATTGTTGGGCGTGCATTTGGGAGGCGGGTTCAAAGTGAGAGTGAGGGTCGCTTGAGGCTTGTGTGGTGTCGTTATCGAGGCGTTCTGCGTGGACAACAGCGATATCTTGCGCTGTACGTCGTCGCTTCGCCTGCGGGTCGTCAGCAGGCTCTTGGACACGCTTGCGAGAGTCCGCCTCGCTCACGGGTGGAGTGGCTGGTGCCGTAGGATTGCTGGGTACCGCAGTAATGCGATCGACGTAAAGAAGAACTCGAGTGAGATCTTTGCCATAACGGCTCCACAAAGGCCCGCGTCGGGACAGATAGCCTCGAATATGGTCCTCCTGAATGGGCTGAGAAAGACGCGCTAGTTTCTCTACGGCCTCGTCGGGAAGGATGGATGACGGTGTGAGGTACGAGTCGGGAGCGTCGTGCTCGAACACCTCTTCGCGCCACTCGTCGAGTGCGTCTTCGAGATCACGACAAGACTCTTTCTCGAAGGGGATCTTCTGCGCTGCGCCATTCTGCTTGCGAAGACCTGGTCGTGTGCGGTCGAGTAGCTCGGGGCAGCAGATGTCGCAGCAGAGTACGGTGGATTGAGGCTAGTAATGGCGACGCCGTTGCCACAAATAAACATGTACAGATACTCAGCCTTTTCCAATCCAACCTCGACCGCCTTCCCACACGAACCTCTGCTGCGAGCGCTACGCCTCTCTCTCTCTGCGCTGAACCTCTGCTACGAGCGCAGCGCCTCTCTCTCTGCGTTCCGCCTCAGTCTCTCTGATCACCGGCCGTCGAATCCAGTAGCATTGTAAACAGGATGCCCCGTTCTCGACCCCATCACCGGTGAATCGTACACGTCACACAGTACGGTCGACGACACTGATCAGGTCACCTTTCGACCTCTCACGATCAGTCCAGCCCAAAAACTCTGCCCCAAGCGCTATTTTCACGAGAGCTAAGTCGACATTTAGCGCCCAAATGACAGATTCTGTCGAAGTTTCTTCCAATTCAGGAGATATTGGGTCGCGTCGCTCTACTTCCTGGGAACAGGTGTGAGCATAACGAGTATTCGCCGCTCAAAAATGAGATGGCAGATGTCGACGAGACTCGGAGCTGTGCAGCCCAGCCTATGCCGGATTTAATCCGGTTCAGAACAACTCAGGATCTCTGAGCTTTCGCGGCTGAGTCCTTCCTGGCAGGTCACATAATTCACAGTCTTAGGTGTTGGATCGCGTATAAATGTGAAAAACTAACAAAAACAGGTGTAAAAACAAAGCAAAGGTAGGCCAAAGGGGCCACCGCTACCAGCCCTGGACGAGCGCTGACGATTGAAGCTTATTATGACAGACATCTGACAGGTGCCCGTCCGCCGGTGGGCATGGCTGGAGTGCTCGACGTGTCGACGCAGGTCGAAAGGTGACCTGATCAGTGTCGTCGACCGTATACAGGGAGCCCGTGGTCTGGGACGTGTCCCGTTGTCGTGGCAGATGTCATGCCCGCTTGTAGAGCATACATGGCAGTACTCAACCTTCGACGTAAGTCTCGTCATCATGCTCAATTGTTTGTGTCCGACCCACCTCTCTTCCCAACAAGTACCGGTGGAAAGGCCTCTCGCTCTGTGCTAGCACGACGACATCGCCGTCTGCCGGTGCTTCTCCATCCTCCGCCTCTCAAAAGTTTCCTCCATGTTCACAACATTTCACAGCTGCTGATCTGATGTCATTTTATACATTCTATAATTCATGAGGGGCCATCAACCAACCCGGGTCTTGCTGGATCACCACTGTGGTCCATAATACTAATTCGACCGCCAAGACTCGAGCACCGTTCAAGCGCCGTGTATTATTCTATTCTATTCTATTCTAAAGGAGGCTATTTCGCAGAATTCAACACCTGACAGATATATTGCGGTCCACATTTCGGAAGTTCATTTGGAGAAATTTGAGGGGGCTGGATCTATCTTAATATCTGGGCCGATGGACCGCCGTTACGGCTGTCTGCTCTCTGTTCTTCCAGGGTCGTTTTCAACCTGAACATGCTGAGCCTCAGCCAGGGTACGTCCTACAACCCTTTCATTTGTGTCGACTTCATGCATGGGCCAAACTTCTGTGTACTCAATAAGAGGGCACAGGACCGCAATGCCATTAGGACATATTAGACTTTCACTCGAGCTTGTCATTCCATCCATATCCTGCATGGGAAGAAGGAGAGGATATAAAGTGGGATGGAAACTACACCTCGAACTGACTACACATTACCTTTCTTCCGTGTCTACGACGCTCTTTCCCGAAGTACTCAGAACATTGTACTCTATCACTGGCACAATGTCTTCCTCGACAGTCTGTTTTTCGCATGTTGATGCTATGAAAACGAAATGGCTGTTGTCACCATCCACTACAAACAACTACGCAGGCTATATTGAACGAGGTTTCGAGTGGCTTACTGCCTGGATAGATGCAGGAGGCATCATGCTCGATGACAACGGGGAGAGCGTGGATATCTCCAACGCTTTCAATATTATCAGCAGCCTGACACCGCGAGTTCTTCTATTGCACCTTTTCCTGAAATGCGGTCAGGGTGTTGAGGAAGCAGAGGGGCATGGTTATTCCACAGCCTCGGGCATTCATGCCGCGTTCAAAGATTTTTTCGCGAAGCACGTAGTCTCATTTGACCATAGTTTGACACAATTGACGGACTGACTTTCACACAGGGTACATAACCGCCGCGAAGACTACTGGAGGTGGAACTCCTACATCAGCGAGTGGGAAGGCAATCCTGCTTGTGATCCTTCGGTGAAGGAGTTCGTTGCAACCATAAAAAAGCGGGATAATGCCACACGTGGCAGGAGTCAAGCTCGAGCGATCCACCCGGAGGATATCAAGGCCGCGTTCTCTTACCTGGACAGTGCCCTCGGAAGATCCGAGTATACCGAGACACATCGACTTCAGTTCAAAGCCTTTGCATCTACTGCGTTCGTGCTCATGGGTCGGTACGTCAACAAATTCACGATCTCTATCGCCTCTGCCCACTCAAGAACTCACTGAGCATAAAATACTCGTCAGTTGGGATGACATAGCCAACTTGAAGCGGGAGAGTTTCTGGTCCAAGACGGATCCTATCGATGGCACAAGATATCACCACCATTCTCTGTGGCGCAAAAAGACTCAAAAGGATCCATCTCAAGGTTAGTCGTATCATCCGGTTCATAAATTATATGTCTGCCTGACAGTCATAGCGAGAGATATGTATGTCCCTAAGGCCAAGTCCGTCACTGAACTGGACTCATACACGCACCTTGAGGCATGGATCGAACACCTTGAAAAGCGTCGTGGAAAACTAGAGGCGGACGACCTCATTTTCCCAAAGGTATCGGCCTCGGACAGCATTGATGTCTCGAAACACGTCGATCATTACACATGGAAAAATATGTTCGCGCCCATATTTCTGAGTTCTGGACTTACTAGGGTGAAACTCGACATGGCACTAGGGACACATGGTTTTCGGCGCGGTGCGGCGCAGTATTACTTCATGCACGCACCGGTTTGCTTGAGTCTCACAGCACTCAAGTGGTGGGGAGGTTGGTCTGACTCCGACCGGGTAAGTCATCGACGACATTCAGCGAAACTCCTATGTTACGCTATGCCATTTGTAGACCACTCTTTGCTATTAACAGGAGGAAGTTATTATACGCTATCTCGTCGACGAATTAACAGACGACGAGAATAGCTTCGCCGACATCTTCATGCCGAGCAGAAGAGTGGACCGTCAAGCGACGTTTGGAGGATTGCAGTCAAACGCACGTTTCCGCGCTGAAAATGGTCAAGACGTGGGCGACAAGCTCCAAACTCTGGAGAAGCGAATCGCACAGCTCACCACGATGGTTGAGAGTTTTTCCATCGCCTGTAAGTCCTCTCGTCTTTCTTCTACTTGGAGACTTGTTCAACACTTCTTTCAGTCACGCGAACCCTTAGCATGTCTGAATGCACATCGACATCACCTTTGATAACCGACGAAGGTAGATTCTCTTCGATACAGGGCAACTACTTGCGGGCTGACAAGAACAATTAGTCCATTCAGACGATATGATGGACGTTGAAACCACCTGCGCCAAAGACGACTGTTATTCAGTTGTCGTCGGACGAACAAATCTTGAAAAAGACCAGGCCTTTCGAACCGTGACCAGTGTTGGGTCGAAATCTCAGAGTATATTCTACGTCTACGTTCTCTTAAGAATTTCCGTGCTTATAAAGTCTGCTGGCAGATAAAGCGAACTCGGTCCTGAACTCCCCGCTATATTGCCCTCGATGCTTGGGGCCTCCTTCTTTTCCCAGTGGCACTACCCTCGCTGCCTCGAATACCACTCCCACATCCTCCGTGACGGCCTTGGATGGAGTACAACTTCCCATATCTGCGCCATTATCTCCACCAGTCGACCGTTTCACCTCTTATAACTTCTCCGTCGATTCTCAGTCAGGGAACGATAGATCAAGCTGCTCTTCACAGCCTATACCATCTTCTAGTCCACCCCTTCCAATCACCCCGCACTTCTTCATTCCTTCGTCCACGGATGATCAACCGCTAGACCCATCGTCGTGCGAAGATTCATCTTCGACCTTTCAAGCTCAACTGAACACATTTGATTCGTGTTATACTTATCCTCAACCGTCGGTCGGCTCGTCCTCCACATCCACTCTTCCGACATCCACGGCAGCCGCATCACATTCTCTTGAGGTCCGCGGTGTTATAGGACGATTGAGAGATTGGAAGGAAGTCTTGAAAGCATGGGAAAAGGGGAAGAGTAAGAAGTTGGGGGTCATCGTGCCGCTCTGTCTGTGGGAAGAGAGATATGGCAGCACCATTCCGTCGGCAGAGCGGAAGAAGCTGAACACCATCAAGATCGTATATGGAGAGTATAAAGAGAGATATAACGGCGATGAAGCTTCCTTTGAACGTGCACTGTTAGCGTCAGCCGCGAAGGGCACCGAAAAGAACCCGCTGACTTGGACAGCCGTTGAGAATGGGGTCCGTCAACTACGCTTCGCAAGGGGGGTGTCTGGCCCCCGGCATAGCTTGAAGAACAAACACGAAGGCATGATAGTTTGGGAACATGGTAGAGCTAAAACGCGAGGGACTCCAAGAAGTTAGTTGGTTTGTTTTTCGAAAGGCATACGACGTTGGTCAACATGGCGAATGTACCTTATGAAGAAAGCATGCTCTACCTATGTGTCATACTTGTTCATCAGGCTTCGGTGTTTGACTGGAGGAGGGTGAAAAGAAATATTGTAGAAGGCTTATGTTGGGTATACAGCTGTTTTCAGAACGATGATCAGGGTGGCTTTGTTCTACGTACACAAACAAGCAACCAAACAAAACCTTACTTTGGTGGAATCGTGGATGCGTGCTCAGCATTCCGCATGGGTTCGCAACACGAGGTCGAGGCGCCGGGTATGGGCCACGTAGCGCGATGCCACCCCCTACGCCTTTGCTTCGAGCAGCATTGGCAATGTCCTTCCCCTCCGAAGTCACGACAGGCTTCATCCCCTCCACCCAAGACTCCGGGATGCACCATACCTGGTACCGACTTGTTGGCACTCTCTCCCGCACCGCCCGCCCGCTTGCCGTACTCCACGTCGGCCCTGGCTTCCCCTGCCAATACATGTCCCCCCTCTCATCGCTTTAGAAAACACACCGAATTCCTGTCATCTTCTCCGGACAGCTCGGCTGCGGGAAGTCGACGCACCTGCCCGACAAACCCGCTTCTGGAGCGTCGACCTGTTCATGGACGAGCTTGGAAACTTGCTCTCTCATTTCGGGATCGCTGACAATTTCGCACTTTTGGGATATTCTGGGGCGGTATGTTAGGCTCGAATTGGGCTGCGGCGAGGACGGAGTCGGCGGTGGGGTTGAAGAAGCTAGTGCTTTCAAGTAGTTCGGCGTCGATGGGTTTGTGGATGGAATGTGTGAACGAGTCGCTGAAATAGTTTCCAAAAGAGATGAGGGAAGTCGCTGTGAGGTACGAGAGGGAAGGCAATTTGAAGAGTAAGGAGTATGAGAAGCTAGTGGATGTGTTTAACGATAAGCACGTTTGCACGCTGCAGCTGTGGCCAGAGGAGTTGGCAGAGTCGCTTCGGGAATTGAAGCATATATAACAGTTACTGATGCTCTGTAAGCATCATATGTCAGTACGTTGTCCTAGGTCTAGAAATATAGACTGATACGAACCAATACGTTCAGGGTCGGGAGAACGACGTTTAGCAGTCCTCCTGCGCCACTGAATACTCCAGTGGCGAAGTTCTCTTCTCAACGTCAACAACGGCGGTCGCAACCCATTGTTCTCCGTTATGATCGGTAGACTGAATCCTGGCTCTCATTCTACACCCGTCTTTACACTTCTGCATCCCTCAGTAAATCTCCACGAGCCGTCATCGTTTTTCTCCGCGGGTGCGACGAACGTATCGGTCGGTATGTGAACTTTCACTGTGCTTGGACCAGCCATGGGTTTTCTGTCTTCACATTCGATTTGCGGGGGTTCGGGGGGACGGCACTGGACGAAACACATAGGTTACTCTAGAGCGTATATGGAAAGATGAGGACGGTGTTGAAAGATGTGGAGTGGGCCGTGAGGTATGCTAGCAAGCTCTCTACGAAGGAAATCCCGGTGTATCTTATGGGGCAATCGATGGTACGTCTTTTGCAATATCTGGACATAAACCACAAAAGCTGACGTAGGTCCGCAAAGGGAGGCGGAATCGCACTCGACTTCATCGTAAATCAATCGATTGCTCGTAACTCTGGTTCCGTCGCACTCTCCTCTGGAGGATCTAGTCCAGCCCGTGGACTCACTTATCGAAGGTGGGTCGTATGGATGATCGGTATGATCAACAAGGTCTTGCCAGATATGCACTTTGCGACCCCTGTCTGACCAGAGGTACGTTGAGCCTCCTGCTGATTAATGACCGAGAGTCACTATCCTTGTTGACAACGAACGTGGTTGCTTGACGATAGGCTGTTGGCCACGATCTGTCTGTCGGGAAGGCACTGGTAACGGATCCGTGGGCCAGAGAGTGTGGCACGTATCGAAGTATCTATGATATGTTCCCTATGGTGGGTGTTTGTTCTCCTTCCAAACGATTGAGCTCTCGCTTGATTCTGGTTCGCTGGCCATGACATTCGACTTATCACCAAGGACTATAAACGCTGGCAGAATGATCTTCCTGTACGTGCACTGTCGCCGTCTTCTACTATCTTCACTTATCTCCTTGCCCGCTCTTTAGCTCTTGATGCTTCACGGGACGGCAGGCGACGTAAGCCAGCTCACATCGTTCTTTTCGGACCTGCAGCTGAACTTATGCACCGCGAGCGAGGACTTCGTCAAGAAAGTCGACGCATCGGACAAACGTCTCATTCTGTAACCCGTTCGTCTCTCCGTTTACTTTTGACATCCGTCTTGCTCGTATCATTCTTCTAGAAGCCATGGACTGACTTCTGTATGTATTGACAGGATGTCCATCACGACCTCATGACCGAGCCGGACATCAAGGAGACGTATCTCGAGGACTGTATCCTGGGTCGAAGGTCGTTTGCCCTCAACACAGGTCATGGTTGAAACATGACGTGTGGGGATATTAGAGTCAGAAGCCAGAGATAGTGTTCGAGAGGATGTGAGTGCAACTATCGCAGCCCGGGAATTTGTTCTCTGCAGCCAAATAACGTGTCCATTCATGGCATAGCATACGTTTTAATCCTGTTCACACGAAACACTGGTGCGTCAAAGAAGTATCTCATCATCAATATGGGTATCATTGCGAGACCTCGTCTCGACTACGTAGGCTGTAGTGTGCAATCTCAGCGCATCCAAAACGCCAAACGAATGCCTTTATTGTCTGCAAACGGGCCGACCGTGAAACTTGCAATAATGAACATGACGAGGGAGACGAACGTGAGCCAGAAGCCCGTAGGCAAACATTTACGTCAGTATCGATATATAGTACACAGTACTGGCCAGTGTCGATGCTTCTACCGCACATTGAGTACAATGAGCGTGAAAGAGAAACGTATCGGGGGCAGTTACGGGTTTTGACCAGACGATCGCGTTCATCTCGTGGCTTGGTAAGTGCATACAACGCGATGTCAATGAAAAAGGCAAGAAGCGTAAGGAATGCGGGGAGCAGAGAGACGATTGATGAGGCCAGTTCGATGGCGAAGTTGAACGAGAGCGAGAGGATGAAGGCGATGCCTATCGCTGCGGTTGCTATACAATCAATTAGCAAGAAAGGGAGGTTATTGTTCCATTCAGTAAGTACAACGAACACGTGAACGGATGGAAGTGAGAGTAACACCTACCGATAGGATGAACGAAGAGGCCTCTCGTCCAAGAAGACCCGATAGTTATGATACCGATCTCTGGGTTTGGCCAAAGTCGTCTGCCCGAATGAACGGGAGATTCAGAGTGTGTCCGTGTCCTAGAAGAGCAGTATGAGATATGTAGTCATCAGCCTAGAGCATGATGGATGGAGCTTACTTGACGCAACTTCGCACAACTGGTATTCATGGTGGTGCGATAGGGTGCGATCCTATCTGGGTGCCAAGTGACTGTGCTTCCTGGAGAGATCTAGGAGAAGATGAGTCGACGAAAAGAACAGCAAAATGAAGGAGAGGAGAGAAGGGAAGCAAGAGAAGACAGATCACGGAAACGGAGGGAAGGGAAGAAGGGCGTTGGTCCTCGGACGAGAGGAGACCCGCGGGCTCGTAGATCAACGGAGTCACGTGTCAGTTTAGAGCAGGCTTCATCGCGCATGTATTGCGACTAGCTGTGTCGGAAATCGCGGCTCAATATTCGATGCTCACTCTCTTCCTTCTACCACCTTTCCCATTCATTCTCCTTATTACCGGACTCTACCGCCCGGTCGCATCGACGAAGTGCTGCGTATGGCTCCCGAGAAGACCCGGAGGCGAAGGCACAAACCACGCCTCTGCTTTGCTCTCTCGCACCTACTTGATCAGGTCTCGTCTTATGTTCTCATGTCTTCCTTGTGACATGGCAAGGACAAAGTCTCCGTATACGCCTTTCTGAACGCCCCTGTGGATATTCTTTCGTGGAAAACTTTGTATCGAATCTTCCGTCTCTTACCTCTCCACCCTCTCGCCACATTCCCTCCCTCACGCCCTTAAACTGATGTATTTCATTCTCAAGACCAATCCTTTTGACCCCACTCGCAGCTTTCTCCCTCCCTCATGCCCCACCCCCATCTTCCCGCCTCCTCCGCTGGCTCCCCAGTCTCATTCTCCTCACCACAAACGTAGGCCCCACCGTCGCCTTCTCTTTCCCTTCCCCTCTTCCTCTGGCCCTTCCTCCGGCGCTATCACATCCCCCCAGTCGCCCTCCCATCTCTCTAGCAACACACACCTGGTGGGGGCAGCGCGAGGGAATAAAGATGGTATCGCCTGGAGCCTGGTAAATCACCCAAGGCCGAACTCCAGTCTGTACTTCCAACTCTTCTAGCATATCATCGGTAAGATATGCCCATTGACCATGAATAGGGTCTCCCGGGGGCCTATTTGGATCATTTTGGTATTTGGTGTTGAGGTAGGAATGTGCTCGCAGCTGCTGGCCGGGAATATGTGCCAGATTGCGGCGCCATCCTGTGGCGAAGACTGGGAAGATTTCGCGCTGAACAGGCTTAGATTGACGGCGTCCATCATGTCTATATGAAGCGCGGTCGATGCCTTCCCGTAAAATTCTGGTATTGCAGGCGAGTTATAGATTTTGGGACCTGATATGATAGAGACGTGATTCAGACACGAATACTGTGACTGCCAATCTTTAAACTCACCGACATCGCCCTTGACCACGCCCTCGTTGTTGGGATGGCGAGACATCATATTCAGGGCCCCGTTGATAGCGATGTATGATCGAAAGGCCCAGTTTTGATCAAGATCTTGCGCTAGAGATTCGAAGAAGCCTTTAAAGGCATTCCGAGGGGGGAAATCCTATAGTGGACGTGTCAAGACACTAAATCAGTAGCGAACATTGATTTCTCAGCTGAGTAATGAGGGCATAGTGAAGAAGACAAGAAATCTAACCTTTATCTTCCAGTCCTCTGACTCTCGGTCACCGCGATCGATACTCATAAAGAACTTGTACGCATCTTTTTCCTCTTCTCGCCCGTCGAGAATGTGTATGACTTTGATTGTTTGTCCTGCAAGAGTGCGTGCGAAGTATTGGAAGTCGTAGCGCCTCTGAAATGCCTTCATCGAGTTCTTCACAACGAGTGGCACACCCCGTCGGAGGCAGTCCATGAAGTCCTGCCAATCGTCGTGGTGATCCATACGCCACTCAAGGGTCTTGTATCTTCTATGATTCTGCTCTTTATTAGGAATTTCCGGCCTGAAAAGTTGTATCGGGAGGTGAAAGAGCAGTGAAAGAGATATTCGTGATAGTGAAAAAACGACGTACATTGCGCTGTTACCGATGACTGCTTCCATCTCAGCTATCGCTGTGGTGATCTCCACTCTATTCGCGAAACGAGAAACCCTTCTCAGCTTAGTTGCATGGCCAGCACACGCAGGACGATGCTGATTCATGTCCACCATCGTTAGAAGATGAGATACCTGAGACAAAGGGAAGTGAATACTAACCTCGGCGTCGCACCGAGAGCACCATTCGCGTCCACAATCCTCGCAGATAAAAGCGCCTGCGAATAACGAAGTTCGACAGAGATCTGAATTAAACAATGAGACGGTATGTGAATAATCAATAATGAATTCCACGCACCACACGTCACTCTCTCAGTCAACTCGCGCCGAAACCACAGAGGCTTTGAGTGTATCAGGACGTATATCTCGTCCGTGTGCGTCAGCTCTGCCTTCACAATAGGTAGAAGCTGTTCTGCTATCTGTCGCTTTTCGTACAAAAGCGAATCAGTGAAAGGCACAAAATAAACACAAAGATATTGACTCATACAAGCGCACGCCTGGCCTCATTGAGCGTGGGACGTCGATTCCAAGTAGAAGGGTAACTGGGACTCAAAGACTCCCCAGAGCATAACATTGATTCTGTACCAAGCAACAACCGTCGCCCTTAGGAAGGGGGTTTTGGTTAATCATGAGTGTTCAAGTTATACTTGCTCAGGCTCGAGCACTACCTCTAAATGCGCATCGAGCCTCGATTCCTTTCCGTTCCGCCCCTTTACGACACTGGAAGCAGAGCGGCAGGCCACGAAAAGAGCTGTTGATAGGAAGGAAGATGCAGGCCTTATCCTGTGTCTGCTCACTTTCGGCAACCCGTTTAGGCAGCATTACAGTAATGACCAGCTGAAGCGTCGACCGTGACACCGAGCAGTTCCTGACAGTGTCACAGTTCATCACACGCAACGTCACGGTGACGTTCCACGTGACCTGTTCGCTATTTCCTGTTCGGGGCGCGTCTCGATTTGACGGTCGCACGGCGCGTGGGTTGTTGACGGACGTTCATCAACTCCCCTACTAAAGGAGCAGCAAGGTGTTTCAACCACGCTTTGCGTTGCTCGGGGGAGGAGCTCCCGATGCCTGGTCAGCCCGACGTCTTCCTATGACGCAGCAGGGTACACAAGTTTGTCTTGGGTGCTTTGCGTTGCGTGGAGACATGGCTCGCACTAACCAGCAAGTCCAAGCTTCCGTGACTATCAGCGATTGTGGAACCAAGGTATGGGTCTCTTTTTCACCTATTTACATCTTCGTCCTACTACTGACTTCGAAAGAGGTGGGCACTTGCAGGGGAGACCGAAAATATTGTACTTGTGCGTCGCTTCGATTCGGCTCTGAGAGTGAGTTTTTTCCCTCGTGATTGTTCGGATGTTCTCGGGGAGGCAGGCTTTTGTGCTTCCTGGCCCTCGACGTTTCTTCTCCCTCTCTTTCTATCATTTGGGCCCGACTTTCTCTTTCTCCTCCCTTTCGATCTGTCTCTTCTTCGGGGTTCCCGTTCCGTTGTCGTACACAGTATAGCTGACCTTCTTGCGGTTTATCTTGGTGCTTTGTTGTTTTTGGTGGTGGTGGTGGTGGTGGTGGTGGTGGCGGTAGTGGTGATCTAGAGTGCGAGAATGATCTCGGAGGTATAGTTCATCTATGAAGGTGTGTTTTTTGTCCTACATTCCGAGGATGCGGTGCAGCGTATGCTGACTGGATGTGTTTGATGTGCTGTAGTGGCATTTGGGCTCATAATTACGAGTAAGTCTTTGTATATGTACGACTCTCTCCTGTCCTGGATTCCTTTTCTTCCAATTTTTTTCACGGGATTTTTCGTCTTCCCGACTCCCGCAGTGCGTGCATTCTCCTTACTCGCTGTCTTTCGCCTTGCTTTCTTCTGTCGGGACGTTATCTTTCATGGAATTCCTTTACTACTTCGCGGGAGTACTGCTCGCATTGGTGGGCGACGTTGACGCTCGAATGCTCTCGAAATCGTTCATTGTGATATCGATGTGGCGAAACACCCCAATACATCGCCTCATTTGCCTCGTTTCCATTTTTTGGTGTTCTCCCTCTTGCGAGTAATGGAACAGGACATTCCTCTTCCGGCTCTAGCACGAGGCCGGTCGATCATATCCATGCTCTCAGCTCTGGAATAATCTCGTTCCGATGGGAGCAATCCCTCCGTCGTCTCGTTCACGGATGTCCTGTTCCGGGTTAACCTATTCCACGGCGTGGCCCTGTGGTCGTAAGTCGCGACGCCACAAGTCCCGAGTGCTGTATGGACGATGGACGTTCCTTTGCTAATCGTGTACGGGCTAGTCGATGTCGCTGGGCGATATGTTTGAAACTGGGTGCTTCGATGTTCTGAGCCCCTATGTATCGAGAAGATTGCATCCACTGTGATAGGCGTGAGCCACTACTGACGAGACGTCAACAATCTCGATCGTTCCGGATCCATGCACCTCTGAGCTACTACGTACTCCGCGTGCCACTCATTTCTTTCGCGTTAACTTTCATTCTGTTTCGAAACACACGTCACGTCTCCTTTTATAGACACTACGCCTATCAAAACACCTTGGCCTCCTTCGCAAGAGACAATATACCCAACGGAACGCCTAACTCAACTCCCTCCAAGCACCACCGCTCTCCGTCTCACCCACCACCAACGAAACGACCACGACCCACACTCGATCCGAATGCATCGTCACATGCCAACCGTCTAGCCCGGGCGCCAGGGTTTCCCGAGTTTCATGAAGAAGACGAAGATACCGGGGAGAGCGAGGCTACAGGTTATGGAGCTGGGAATCGCAATGCGAGGTGGCCGGAGGAAGAGGACGAGGATGGAGGGTGGTGCGGATGAGGAGAGGGTGAGCAGCCCGAGCCCGAGTGCTATCACGACGAGGAGATGGAAAGCCAGAACTTCGTCATCGTCATCTTGGCTTTCTCCTCTGCGCACGCTACGGCCACTTCGACTGCTAGTACTAGGGTTGCAATACCTACAATACCACCGTGGATGTCGGCGCCTTTGCCTTCTCCATTACCTTCATATCTATCACGGCCTTCGTCAGCCTCGTCTTCGAGCTCGGCACAAACACGGGATTATTCGGGACAGGGGACCGTGGCATTTACGATTCAGGTGGACTATAAAGAAGAAGCGCTGCAGCCCCGGTCTCAATCTACCACCACGAAATCCACAACGACAACCAGCGGCTCGTCGTCGTCGTCCTCTTCGCACTCTACATCCATCTCGTCGTCAATGAAGAAGAAAACACTACGACAGCAAAGTGGACTGATAACCGTTCCTTGTAATGCGGCTCATCGTCTAGTCTCGCTGTTCCCGTTCCAAGTGCTGGGTCAGAGAGGGAGAGGGTTGCGAGGAGTTTGAGTCCGAGGCCTCTGAGCCCGGCGCTTGGGAGTCCGACCAGGAGGGAGGCGGGGTTGAGGGAGGTGGAGGAGGAAGAGAAGGTGGAGAGGGGGGAGGACGTGTGTATGGATGTGGATGTGGATGTGGATGTGGACGAGGTTGTGGATGTGGACGAGGTTATTGAGATGAGTGCAAATACTAATAGACCACTCCAGCCTCAATCTTCTCGCTCTGCCTAAGATCTTTCTGCGGGATTTGTGGTTTCGACAGCAGTGAAGAACCACAGCAACGGATATGGGGTATTGGTCATTATGGGCCCGTTTTGTACTCTGATTTATCCTTCCTTCCTTCAGTCCTTCCTTCCTTCCCACACAGAAACCTTCGCCTACAGCATCGAGCAAGATGACTGCGTCCATCGAGCACAAACAGTGGACTCGGGATCAGGTACTGGGTTTGAACGTAGAGATGGCGATTTTCTTCCGTTATTCAGTCAAGTTGGGATTGGCGCTGGAAAAAAAGGAATGAATGAGGTATCTTCTTTCTAGTCTCCGGAATCCTGAGTGATAGATTCTGAACCATTTATCGTAGCAGCGTTCACTTCAGTGAACATGGATGGAGAATGGGCCGACGCTACGTTCTCGGTTGTATGATGAGTCGCGCTGTCAATCATTTGTCTCTATCTGTGAGCTTGGAGTATCACTTCGTCGATGTGTATCTCGATTGACGAGGGAATGGCGGAGCTAAAGGACCGCCATGTGGCACCGTTCGGGGTTATGGCCCTAACGGGTCAGGTCTTTGCACGAGCCCTCGACATTGGACACAACGTAGGCCAGGGTCAGGCGATGTTGTCTACCTTTCGTATCTCATGATCTTGCTGATGTAGTTACTCTCCTCTAGATGAGAAGGTGCCTATCGAGTGTTCTTCCTTCGTCTTCCTTGCGCATGGTAAGAGAAACCCGAGGAGTACTCACCGTCAGTATTGCATCCGGTCGTGATCCCGGGCTCAGTGTTCGGTGAACAGACTGTGCGCTCTGAATATCGGATATATGAAGGTAATGAACGTAAGGGTAGATGCTGGGCATAGACGTACCGGGTGATTGGTCTGCACTCGGAATAGTGAGGTCCAGGCCAGGCCAGTCCAACGCTCTGATGAATAAACGTTAACGTTCATCTACAACTCAACATTTTCTGACTGGCCGTCGATTTGATACACCTCGACGGTGGGTATGTACGTTGTCACTGTGCTTGGCTGCATTGGACTGGCCTGGCCTGGACCTCACTATTCAGGTCACCTTATCGACCTGAGTCGAACCTGTCAAAGCCCTTCAGCCGTGTCTGCGAGCGTCTGTCAGACGTCGGTCAAGATAGACTTCGACCATCCACGTCCCTTCCGCTGCCTGTGGCGGCGGCATTTTTGACTCTTTTGCTATGCCTGTTTTCGTTGGATTTCTATAATTATGAGCATTTTACTGCCTTATGCCCAGGGCATGTGAGTAGCCTTCTCACTACCCGGATGACTCGGCAGAAATTCAGCGTCCAAGCTTGAAAGGCCTGAAACCTATTGGAGGGCAGCCGCCTCATCTGTCGGAAACGATCGTCTTGAGCAGCGAATTGCCCGTTTTGCACAATGGCGTTCCCACAGATAATAGTAAGTCGGAGCGGGAACAAGATATTGGAATGCAATATCTCCTGAAATAGGAGAAATATCGCAGAGCTGCCGGATTTGACTGATCGTGAGAGGTCGATAGATGACCTAATCAGTGTCGTCGACCGTATCGCGTACGTGTTCCTCCAGTCTGAGCATGATTCGGAGCAGGGTAGCCAGTGCTCGATGAAGAGCGATCGACTAGAGAACGTGGTTTCATGCCGTTGTCTCCGTCGACGTCGCCACGCGCCGTCCAGGCAAGCTCAGAGCGGGCCTTATATAGAGCTCAAATCGGGACGGACATAACAAGCGGTAAGGTCCCAACGGCTTTCCGCTTTTTTTCCGAGGCATGGTAACCCTACGTCGAGAACGCACACCCTGAGTCTGTGTAGTGAGAGAAATCTTATGCAAATTATTTTAAGTGACTGGGGGGATTTGATGCAATGCATCAGCGTCAGTGATCAGAAAGAACTTACTCGCGTTGTCAGAGCGGCACTTGCTCGAGCTACTAAAAGAGTTTCATTCGCGCATCATTCGATCCGCCGAAATCTGACAGACACTCTTTATGTAACATATCGATCGCTCGTATGCCAAGCGATTACCTTCCACTCGAAGCGCTGTTAACCCCCACGTTCTGTCTAAAAGCTTGCAGCTCATAATCCTCCTCATTAATCCGGTCGACTCATCATGTCTCTCCCATCTAAACAACAGACATGCTCCACCCTTCGACCCCTTTCTTCCATCATGTCTGCACCGTCGTCCCCTCCTCTCACTGCATCGTCGGTCACAGCATCGCTCCCTCCTACCACTGTGCTCTCCGACGCTCTCTCCCTCCCCGACGAGGATAGTAGCTCCAACTCCCGCAAACCCGCTCTCTCTATTATAACCGAGATCAGCGAGCATGATGGCTCCGATGTAAGCTACGAGTACGATTACGACCATGAATCACCTCGCCCTAGCCCAGACACAGAGGACCATTGGTATTGCATTTTTGAGGATCCTCGCCTACCAGGTCTTGCACCACTCCAGGGGCCAGTCCAAGGAATGTTAGCCCTATTCTATTTATTTCTGTCAATCCCTGTTGATAATCCCATTAGCTCAATCTCATTGATTTCTTAGATCAAAAGCACGTCCTTATATTTTACAAATCGCACGTCCCCGTTGGTCTCGGTTCAGTCCGTCCAATTATAAAGAAGCTCAATCCTGTTGGGATTGGCACCGGCACGCCGATATTAAGGAAGACGAAGAAGCCGTTAGCCCTCCCAGTCCTCCCATTCGGGCCCCGAGTCCAGTTCCAGGTACGTCCTCTTGCCCCCTTTCTGACCGCCCTCCTACTGATGCGCAATGGCCCTACCCTTCCACTGCCTTTTCCATGTGCTGCAGTGTCAGTGTCCCCTCCCACCTCTCACATCCGTCGACAGAGAGCTGCCACTTTGTCCCGGAGACCCACTTCGTCGACTCCGAACGAGCCTCCTACGACTTTCTACACATCTCCCAACAAGGATTTTGCCCCTGGCCGGAGATAACTTCGAGACAGTCGTGGACACCTTGGAGGAGGCTAGTGAGTTGCTTTCGTTCATGATGAGGTCGTCCACCAAGGCTTCGACAACAGAGACGACGTGCTGGAATGGTTGGACGTGCGTAAGAGGGAGCTGTGTCGATAATGTACTACGTTTACCGTCTGCTTCGCCCTCCGGACTCCTGCTGTACATTCTTGAGCCCAAGACTACTCGGTACTATTCTCAATACATGCTATCTTTCTCTCACACGTCCCCTCAGCAAAGAAAAGAAGATCTGTGCATGGGATGTCCTTACAGAGAGCTTAGAGAAAAACGGCTGCCTTTTTGTCACTGCCTTCGTCGTAGGGTTTATGCTACAGCCTGCCACTAGTAGATATGGCATTCCGATCTCAAGCTCAGCATTGGGGGAAATCTCTAGTCGTTTAAAATTAGAACTTGATCGGCCTTAGCCTTGTATGCCAAGCGGAGTATCAACTTTTGATATCGAGATCTGGCGGGAGACATAGACGGTACCCATCTATACTGTCGTATGAAGGGTTCTGCAATCGGATTGAATAACCTGTCCCTTTACACATTTCCCCCCACGAAAATATTTATGAAGGCTCGGGATGCGTTCTATGGCATGTAGAGACCTGCTGTGAATATTTAAACCCTCTTCCAGAAGCAGGATGTACTTGATTGCAAACTTGCAATCGGTCGACTCGCGTTTGCGACGGTTTGCAACCCAGCTTCCGCGGGCCGAACGACCGGCTTGCAAAACACAGTCGTACCCTTGTGTAATCCTCCTCCACATTGTCTTCAACCTCGAAACTTTTACGTTCTGACCATACAGTAGGTAGATGGTAGCATGATTTTTTTTGATACCGAGAGGAAGGGTGGAAAAAATACCAAAAACGAAAACCGAGAAATTGCAGAACCGGTTCGGATTGCAGAGCTCGTCACACGACAGTACTTACACGGTCAAGTGTTTTGCCCTTGATTATCTGGAGCGCGCTGCATCTACCCGGCAGCGGACAACCATCACAACGACGACAAGTCTACCCAGATAAATCCGTCTACTAGAGTTCAGACTTATACGAGATGCCTGCCAATGAGCCATCAATGTGCAGTGAGTGGCCAGTCATCAATATACTGCTTGAGAAGAGCACATATGTTGACAGACCACTCCAGCCTCGGTGTTTTCGCTCTGCTTAAGATCTTTCTGCGGGGTTTGCGGTTTCGACGGCAGTGGAGATACCGGCGCAGCACTCGCACAGAAACCCTCGAATCCTATATCAGGCCATATGAGACCTACAGCGCAACAGCCCACAGCATTGAACAAGATGGCCACATCAGCGAGCACAGACAGTGGATTCGGGATTGGGTTGAGGGGTTGAATGTAGTGGGATGATGATTTTCTTTCCTCCGCCATTCATTCAACTGAGCATCGGTGTTGGTGCTGTACGCAAAGGTATCAGGTGAGTGACTTTCTTTCTAACTTCAGGAATTCGGGGTGGTAGATCTAATCCATGGGTCGTAGTCGCTCGATTCACAAGTCGGTGAATAGGATGGAGAGCGGGAAGAGCACTACATTCTTCTCGGAGGGCTGTATGATGAGTCACTCCGCCAATTTTTTGGTTCACTATCTGTTCGCCATTTTTGACTTGTATGGAATCACTACGTTTCACACTCGCAGTGATTCCAATTAAATATCCACTGGGTCATAGAGCCTTGTCTTGAACCATGGGTTTGTGTGTATACTTCATCTCAGGCTTACCGGGTTTGGGTTCTGGCTTCATGTCTCGGTTTCCGAGTACTTATTTGGCTTCTCATTTCATATTTGTTCTTACTTCACCTCAGCCTCGTGTTACTGCTTACGCTCGTATGCTCGTCTTTCGTCTCGATCGTTCCCGCTTTGCGTTGTCAGGTGAGTTTTACAGACGCTTTCGTTTACCGTTTCATCAGATCGGACTCATTATTTACTGTTGTACCTAGACGTTCTCCGATTCTTCGAGCATGCTTTTCATCTTCAAGTCTCTGTCCTCGGGCCCCACTGCTCCCTCCCGGTTAGCCGTTTATCCCAATAGAGATCGAGGGAGGAGGACATAATGATAGCCAAGCGCACGTTGATTCCGCTCTTCCCAGTTCGCTTACACAATATTCTCAATCTACGTTACCTAATAAATTTCGACCCTCGATGCATCCACCTTGTCTTCCTCCGGCTATTCACGACGTTCAAATTCGATTCGTTCGCATTCGCCCTCACCACTGGTGTCACCCTCGCCCGGGTGGAACCTTCATCCTACGCACGCTCGTGCCTCGTCATCGGCGGACAATCGCCCATTAGCCCAGCTCGTTCTCGACCTCTATGCTTCAGCAGGCGAATCTCCAGGCGCGGGCGGCCCGCAATCACATCCAGAGTGTTGCTACCACGAGTGTGACGGGCTCGAGCTCGAAATTCAACGTACACGTTCCGGCTAGGAGTATCATCACCGATCGCCCACCTATTCCCCCTCATGCAATCGTATGGTAACTTCTGCCACGTGCATTCCACTCGTTCGAACTCCGGTTACGAAACCTCTGTCGTCCCTTCCAAGTTCCCTCCAGTTTGATCCAGCGAGTCAAATGGTAGAGGACGCTTATTCATGCCCGTTCCAGCGCCTACTGCGCCACCTTCAAACGCTTCACACCCTCCACGTTCTCATCAATCTCCTCCTTTTCAACCTTCGCCTTTATCCAGCTCGTTCTCGATCATATCACCCCCGAAATTGGCTGGATCCATCCCACTCACTACCGAACCCACCATCTTCTTTCGTCCCTGCTCTCTCGACAACGCACCAGTTTGGGCCACAGGAACGCTTACAACATCCTCCATCTCCTTCGCTCAGAGCACCCTCTTCTCCGAAGCCTCTGCTTCCACCACAACTCCCCCATCACCAGCTGCCACGGTCTACATACGCCAATATCCAGTCGCCACAACATCTTCTGCCACCTCATGAGCTCAGTCCGGTGACGTCTCACCTTCCCCCAATGATCCCGACCGACAGCACCGTCATTATTGCACGCTCCATAAACTTCTATCGCGCTACCCCCCGAGACAGTCGTCATCGAACGCGACTCAAAACTACACCATCGACGGGCGATCCCTTCGATTAGGGCTTGTTGGCTGTACTGCATTCGTTGGGAATCTTTGTGTGGTGTCCTTGATGGTCTGCGCCAAGTCAGCGCGAGTGGGTCTCGAACTGAGCTGAGGTTTCAAAGGACCTCAAAGGTTGCCACTCCTCGATCCAATTGTCGAGCGTGTCCTTCTTCGGTGCTGGCTTGATGGCCGTTCTCGTCGTACTGCCTGCCCTCCGCCCACTTCCCGTCTTCTTCGTTTGCCGTTCCCATCATACTCTCCCGCCGCCGTCCTCCGTCTCCCCCTGCTTTCGAACCCATCTCTTGTCTTTTTTCTTTCTTCGCCTCTGCATTCTCTCTCCCTCGCCACCCACTATCCGACTGCTCCATTGCAGTATTTGCACCGCCCACCATGCCCCTATGAGGGCTCTGGTGCATCGGAAAGAGTGGCGCGCCTCATTCCCAACGCATCTGGTCTTCTTTCGTTTCCCTTGGATAATGACACCGTCGCGTATGAGGGTATCCGCTGCCATTGCACTACGCAAGTGCAGAGTCCCGTGCGCGATTCTCTGTCCTGGTGCACACCTATGAACTGGCTTGAAGGAGTGCGTGGTCAATATCTAGCCTTCGCTCAGGCCCACTCGTCGCTTTATGTCTCGTAGTTCGTTTCTCATTGCCAACCTCGTGCGTGACCGAGAGGGACTTGGCCATTGCGACGTACGGTTGATCCCTTGATGGTAGAGAACCCATCAGCGAATCCATTGATGAATAGTGTGTGGTGTTCGTCCGTCTCCTTTAGCCAGGAATTCAGCTCCTTGTTGTTAGCTTCGAGTAGTAGGACACCGTTAGACAGGATGCGTGCTCCGACGAAGGATAGCCTGTCGGAAGGTCGGTTGTCTATCTTTTCGAGTGAGATTTCGGCAGCCTCGACGAGCATCATCTCGTCGAGGTCGGAGTATTTTCTGGAGCTGCCAGATATCTTGTTCAGTAGTATTCGGCATTCATCACGGTTTCTGGAAACATCGGTGCTCGGTGCATTCTGCGGTGCGATGTTGTGTGTGCCTTGCGTGAGCGCAGTCGCGTATGAGGTGGTAATGGAGCCGTTGGTGGTGTGAGCTGACACACCCTCTCCTCCTTCGCCTCTGGGCTTCATTGTCCCCATAGCTCTTTATCGTCGTTTCGATCTTATTCACCAATTGAGTTCTGCGCTCGGTAGCTCGATCCAGAGCTTCAGTGGCTTTGCGGGTCTGTTCCGCCTCTTCTTCCATGCGCCCAGCGTCCGCATCAAATGTGTCTCACAGATTCTCCTCCACGATCCGTCCAACTCTCTACTACTTATTGAGGTCGCATAAGCTCGGTGACGTTCTGAGAAAAACCGACCCCTGGTCATGTATTAACTTTCCGCGACCCCCTTGTACCAAAGGTTCCCTTCCTCAGAGTAAGCATTATCAAACTTACGGTGGTTGGGGAAATATTTATGTCGCTCACTATTCTTTGGTATAGTCACTGGAAACGCGAAGGTCGTGATGTGAAGGATGCTAAATTTATAGCGGTTTGGCGCTATAGGAATGTAAGTCACACGGCACCAGCTGACCTGTTGGTTGATCTCTGTTCTTCCCTGATACTACAACGACACGCGAAGCGTTCGACTTACTTCCTCCCTTCCATAGTCACCTCTCTCACCTACTCCTTTACCTTCTCGGACCATCACAATGTCTGGTATACCAGGAGACTCCCATTTCCAGGCGGGGCGCCCTCGAAAAGTCTGTTTTCAACTGGAGGAAGCGGAAGGCCGAGATGCAGGTAGAGTGCCTGACCACCGGTACGACTCAGAGTGTATGTATGCATTTTCAGAGTTTAATGGACACCTTCATCAATTAACTTCGCATATACTAGCCCGATACACGTCGGGAGATCAGCACACTGACGTTACCATACATCCAAGTGAAGAGGAGTACTATTGGTGGGCTGTCTTTGTCGGGCGCCATCCAAATCTTTTTCAAACGAAGTACTTTTTGATTTTGGACTCGCCATTCGTCTCGCACTAATGAAACCATCTTGTAGAGAAGAGGCCATTGCAGAGACTGTGGGTGTCTCCGGCGGACGTTATCAGGGGTACCCGTCTCTTGATGCTGCGTTCGATGCCCTTAGAAAAGCGAGGGTGACTGGAAAGGCTGTAGAGCGATGGGGCCCAGGAGAGATGCCGGGGCCGCAGACGAATCCGTTCCAGGCGGGCGCCAAACCCCACCTCACGATACAAAGCACTGGGGCATCTTCATCCGCTCGTAGAAAGATATTCAAGTCACCTTCGAAGCCTACGTCCAAGTCACCTTCGAAGTTACCATTTCGACATAAACCAATCCAGGCCTCCCCGCCTACCTGCATCGTGCCCTCTCCATTCTTGGCTATCAGTGAGAAGGGAATTGGTGCATTTAAAACTCCCCCACCCGCATCGTCATCTTCCTTTTGCTTGCAATACTCGCATTCCTCCGTGCCTACACCAGTGGCGGGATCGACGACTGACGATGCTGTGATCTCGCCATCTGCTGGGCCTTCGCAATCTCTGACGATGTGGGAGGAGGAGACTTCTGGTGGCATGGAGGACATCCCGAGCACTTTGGACGTGGGACATCACGGTACGTACATCATTTCGACTTTTCAGGGTATCTCGCCGAACGGGGGTCGAATAAGTGTCTGCCTTCTTCATACCTTCTTATTTAATCATTGGCTTTGACCTGTTGCCGCTTTAGAAACTGGCTTTACTGATTTCCTCGTGTTCTGACATATCCATTCTTAGCAGAAACACCGTCGCGGTCGTTGGCAGGAAAAGTCCTACGAACATTGGTAACAATGTCCTTTGGGGCCATTGGTATGTGGATAATGTTGGCGTTTGGTCCCTTGTAGTTCATTGTCTTTCATTTCTCCCGGAGGGAAGACGGATTCAGTTCCTGATAATAATTATCCCTCGAATTGAAGTGTTTCAGAGTCCTGTCGGGTCCGGTTTTTTCTCCAAAACTTTCGAGACGAGACCGGTGTACAGACTGCTAGAATTCGTAAACCGTCTATGACCAGCCATAGGCGGTCGTGTCTATGAGTGTTGATTGGTTCTGACTGGTTAGTGCTCACGCATACATGAAGGGGATGAGTAACAGAACAAAAACTTGCAGTGAGCATGCGGCATTAGGATGTGCACGAGTGCATGAAGTCACCATTCAGTGAGCGCTTGGCTCACCGGTGACGGACGAAATCACATGGGACGAAGAGGAGGCAGGCGCCGAGGAGAGAGACAAAAGAATGGGGGTGGAATTTCTCCTGATCCATAAAAACACAAGACCACAATGCTATGATAAAAACAGTGTGAGCAGAGAAGAGACGAATGGAGCTGGCAGTGACGAATAGGCTGTCGGTTGGAATAGCTACTGGGTACTTAAGGCTCGTGAACGTCGAGCATTTTGGACGGTGATTTTTCATGTTCTAAATCTGAGGTGTTTTCGTGCCCCAAGCCGGAGACGATGAGCCGACCAACCATCACGGCAAAATTCAAGGGAGGGTGTGCCAGCGGGTGTGCATCGTTATGGACGCTAGACGGGGATTGATGTTGTCACCAATAGAAAGTAGCGTACATGTCGGTACGACGGCATACAATGAGCACTCGTGTAACGTATCAGCACGGGCACAGCTATCATCGATCTCATTTTCTGTGACCAATAGCTGCCATCGTCTACAACTACACCCAACCAGTCTTCAACAAACCATGTTTGCGACTTGCAACTTTTGATCATGTGACGGCCCAGGTGGGTCCAACGACTCCGAAGTGAACGAGATCTCAGTCGCGCTCGCGGATAAAGTATGCTTACATGGTAGTTCACAGGAACAGCCATAGCAGTCTGCGAGGGTTCATTGGACGCTGCTAAGACAGAAAGACAATGATGTTAGAGCGTACGGGCGGTCAGATTCACAGAATGTGGCGCACCTGCAGTCCTTACGGACGCTCCACCTATTCCTGTATACCCAATAGCCGCCGCGGCGCCATCTAAGGACGAGACAGGTCTTGCAGATGCTGAAGACGACCGATCTGAAGACGCCGTTAGACGTGGCACGGCCGTCGCGCTCTCAGGAGGTGACGATGTACGACTTGTGAGCACGGGAGGCGTTTGGCCAACGGAGGATGTCTGCAAATGAAGCCCGAACGATCACCGTGAAAATAGATGGTAAGTTCAAATAAGACACTTACCAGCTCACCAGCAGCCTGTGTAGTTGGAGACGCGGGAAGGGAAAAGAGGAGGCGGAGGCAAGATTTGGGCAAGATCGCATCGCGTGAGAACGCGAAACACGAGGGCGCTTAGGAGCGCGTTCGACGAGCGCCAACGCCTCCTCGTCCGACGACGACGACGACAAGTCCTCGTCACGTTCCTTGGCTCGTTTCTTCGCTTCTCGCTTTCTTTTCGTTTCAGCCTTTCGTGCTTCAGCCTTAGCTTTCTTCGCGGCCTCCTTCTCGCCGTCTACTCTCTCGTCTAGCTCCTCCAACAGTCAAAACTTCCTCGCCGTGCTCTTCCTTCCACATCCAGTCGGCTGCTGCATATTCCAAATCCTCCAGAGTCCTCCATCAGCGGCATGGAGCCAACACGGTCACTACAACATCTTGGCATTAAACGCTCTTCTCCCCAGATCGTGTACGGACAGTTCGCTTGATAGGTCGACGCGCGCCAGCGTCGGAGAAGTCTCCGTGCCTCCTCAAGATGCTGATCAGAGCGTTTGACTGCTCCTCGTTTTACGTTGTGTACCGCGCTGGTCCGTGTCGAAGGGGATTCGGGAGACTGGGCTTCGTCCATGGCCAAATTGGATGAGGCTTCCGGCTCAGGTGAGCACGATGCTTTATCTGATCGCCTCAGATTCTTCTGTCCACGCCTTCAATGTGAGTAGCTTGTTTCTGCATATATGCATGTAGAAAAACACTGACCTTGACAATTGACAGGATTATTTAGATGCTCGTCTGCCACATCTCTGCGACAATCACAAGTCTGTATCCATCATCGTAAGTTCGTCTTGATCGTTTTGACGAACTCGATTTCGTCTCCCTCTTCCCGCTTTTTCTTGTTCTTCTCCTGAAACACCCTCGGTTGCACCAGCAGGTATGTATGTGCCTGTGCGTCCTTCTTTCGAACGGCACGGCCTGCACGCTGTAGCCAAATAGACAACGATGCAGGGACCATGAACTGCACGACAGACTCAACGTTCGATAAGTTGCATCCCTTTTAGGTTTGAATATCAATATATGAGCTGACAAGGATACCCGAAACCACGTATCGTATCCAAGCCTCGCTCGCGAATAGTATGTCGGTTTTGTCGTCACAGAACTGCGCGGTCACATCCAGTTTGGAGTTTCCACCACGACGTGAGTTATAAATCGCTGTCCGCGCCCGTAAGTGTTCAGGCAATCTCTCTCGAAACCAATGCCATGCCTTCATTGAAATAAGGATGTCGTCGAAGAAGGCGATGACCTTTCCCAGCCGTTCAGCACTCGGATTCTTCGGCGGGAGAAATCCGAGCGACTCAAGATCTGACTTGCCTGCATTCATATGGACGACGTGTCATGTGATGTTTGGGCAGTCGTTGCAGAGGTTAAGATGGAACGTGTCCGGTCTTGAGAAGTGCACTTACTTGCGAATACTCGTCAGGTCCTTGGGGGTGAGTGTAGCCGACGTCGCAAGGAATGGTGTATATGCTGCGAATGCGCGAAGGGTTCCCAGCTTAGCGTAGATCTCGCGAAAGCTATCACCCCACTGCGTGATACAGTGCGCCTCGTCGAGGACGAAGGCTCCAATGCGCTTGGCAAACGTTGCTGTGTTGAGCAGAGCACAAAGTTTCTCATGCTCCAAACACATTCGGAGATGTAATGACGACCGAGATACGGCCGTCTTCTATGTCCTGAGAGGTTGTCACGCATGGTGGTATGAATCGTGATAGCATAAACAATGCACCTTCAGTATCTTGTAGGAGTAGGTCTTCCCGTTAAGGGCCACTGCGGAGAAATGACGTGCCAGTTGATATCCCTCCATCAGGCCCCGAAACGCAGTGCAGAAATCTTAGGACTCACCTGGTCGGCTTCGAGAGGAATGAAGGGCGAGACGATGATCAACACCTTGGGATTTGTCTTCTGGTTTGCCTCTCCTTTTGCTTTATCCCTATCCTCCTTTTCTTGCTCAGATCTCTGCTAGTAGAAGAATAGCAGCAACATGAATGCGATGGTCTTCCCGGAACCTGTTGGCGCAATAAGTTCGCGATCGATCCCTAACACCAAGCACTCCGCGATGTCAAGTTGCCAGTCGTGAGGTGTGGTCTTGCCAGATCCGACGCTTTGCCGGTGTGTCGATCATGATGAAGAGTCAACCGGCACCTCGCCCATTAAACGACGCGTCGCTCTCAACCTCTTCCCACTACACCTCCACGCTCTACCACTCCTCAACGCGATCCATCGCTGTCAACCTCACGATCACTTCCCCTTACCTCATCTCGCAAACCGTGTTGCCAACTTCGAAGAACCACTCGACGCGTCTCCAAGCAAGGTATCGCGATCTAGTACAGGTCGTACAGTGCAGACTCGTTCCCGGGAGGAGAAAGAGAACATCACGACCACTTACGGTTCACATCGTAGGTAGACCTAGACTTGAGCCTACTTGTACGGGTTGCGGGTTTTGATTTGAGCATTGTTTGTACATAAAACATATAGGTTTTTGCCCGTCCATTTTACGCTGAGGGGCTTACAATGACCTCGTCCTCGAGGCCTTCATCTCCGAGTGCCAATGATCCCTCCACAAGAATGTTGGGTAAAATAATGGAGGGTAAGATGATTTCCTCCTCGTCTTCCTCATGCCCTCCCTGCAGCTCCTGATCCAGCATGTCCTATGTCGAACAGTATCCGCTTGATAAAGTCGCGGATTTTGGAGCCCTTTGCCATCATCGCGTAACCCTTCGAAAAGTCGTTCACCGCTGTGTGACCCGGGTACCGACCGGCACGATACTCGTGCAAATCGTGCGCTTCCATCTCCTTGGTAAACTCGCGTATCGCTGCCACCTTCTTCTTACGTCGGTGTATTTGGCTCCGTTTGTTGAGACTGACCGCAGATCGCAATACTTGTCGTATCCCGAGGAAGGACCGAATGTTCATCGAGACCACCTGTCGGAAGAACTCTCCCCCAAAGGTAGCGTCTCTCTGTTGCGACATCTCCTTCAGCTGCTTGATGTTGTGCTCCTGTAGAAGATCCATCGGAACCTGCCCGCCTAAGTAGCCCGTCAGATTGCAGAGCCAGTTGTTGAGAACGTCTTCTTGAAGTGAGTCAGACTATTCGAATTCGAAGTCGCAGGTGAAGAACTATTCGAACAGTGGGTTAGTGTTTACAGATAACACAGGAGAGGAGTTACTGACCGACATCACGTTCACTGCCCGTCTTATATCCTCATCGGCCATACTCCACTGAAACTCGTAATGAAGCAAAGAGTTGCGCGTCCGAAGGATGACGTTTGCTAGAACGGTGTCGCCCTCAGCCGTCCAAGCCCCGGGCATCTTTACTTTTGACGGTGAATCTCCATTTTATGGATTGCCTTCGGGAGACATACGCTGAGTGGCATCGCCACCGTGGAGGGCAGTTTCGTACGCGGTAGACGTCGCATACTTATCGCAAACTGCCTTCGCATGTGTCATGAGATCCTCAAAGTCCAGGTCGCTGTTTTCGAAGAAATTGTCGAGGTTGTCTGTGTTGAGGTGCGCCCTATGCTGCTTATTAGGTCTTGTCTCGCCATTGATAGGCAAGTTGACCTTACATCCATGCACAGAGAGCATCTACCTTCAGAGTATCAAGGTTGAGGCAGTGCTGGGTCGGGTAAGAATCAGGCTGCTTGATGTTTTCACCTTTCGTCCGAGCAAGACGTTTGACGAACGGTATGAGGATAAGTGTTCGGCGGTCGTAGTGCCCCAATGTACGCGAATGATGCATTCGATGTCTGCCCATCCCTCCATAGTTGAATGTGAGTGATAATACAACCGTAGCGCGAATAGCCGTGTGGGCAATCGTTGACGAACTGTTTCAAGACGCGGAGTCACTCAACGGACGATTGGTCTAGGGTTCCGACAAAAAGTCCACAGTGGGTGTTACGCCGTGTTATTAACTTGGTGCCCCCCGCGGGACTTTTTTACAGGTGTTAAAAACACATTATTGAAATAGGATTAAATGTTATTTTTGTCCCCAGGTGCTGCCAGTTTCTGGAGGGCTTTCAGAGCACTAAGAGTCCTTTTGATCGCTTTTTCTTGGAGCCAATTCTACAACACATCCAAAACACGTCCGCTCGTGGTATGTGAGGTCGTTGACGAAAACACCCACCGTACTTAAACTTGGACGTGGACAAGAGTAAGCTGTGGTGAGAGAGTCGGAATATGGAGTCAGCGTCATGGAAATCGGTTCGGGTAAAGGTGTGTCTAGGTCGGTTTAGGGATTCGAGAGGATGGAGTACGACGGGGAGCGATCAGGAATTCGAAAGCGTCTTCCCTGAATACGGATCTACTCCGGACGTCTAGATTTCTTACGCTTTTTTTTACAGCTCTATAAACCAGTGTATCGGAAGGGTTGTTGATAACAGGTTATAAACAGTTATTACAGCACTGTTTTACAGCTGTTATTAACAACTGACTTCTTGTCGGAGCCCTAGATTGGTCCCCACCGACGATGCGAAGGAATCTATCGACCTCGTCCTTTGGCAAATCCAGTGGACGTAGTCATCGAGGACCTTCGCAGTCTCTGCCTTGAGATCGCTAGTAGCCATTGGCGATAGCTTCGTCCTCCGGCTGTTGCGCATTCGGTCAAAAGCGTTAGTTGTGCCGAGATGAAGAGTAATGAGTTCCTGATGGTGAGCCGAGCGTTCTACATGCTCAATCAAAAAGCTGACTATGTGGAGCTCGATGATGAAATGTATGCTCTTGAGATCAAGGCGGTCGCGTAACGTAGCAAGCGTCAATGCCTTGCGACGACCTTCCTCCAGTGTCGTAAGGAGGTTCGGGGTAGAACGCCTTTTCGGGTTCGCAATCTTCTACTGCGAGCTGAGTGACTGCCGTTCCGTTATACATGCGATCCTTTTGACCAAGATCGGGATCGCCAGGACGGAACATGCGGTTGATATTGTCGAAGATGAGCATCCAGAACCACCGAGAGCACTCCGCTGTAAGCTTTCACGAGCTTTGCTGGAGAGTATACGAAGAAAGTCGAGGACTGAACTGTAGGAGACCGAGAAACCAAGACGGTTCAGGATGACGTAGACTTCGACTGCGGTGGTGTGCGAGAATAACCAGATGCCGATGATGTATTGGAAGAGATTTGCATGTAAGTTTCGGACGTTCATTAACATCATAAAGACTGTCAGGATGATCTGATGATGCAAGATGAGTGTTGATGATAAGTTCTCTCGTATAGCGTAACATCCCCTTCCCAGCCTGTGTAGGCTTCCCCGAGACATAGGCCGTATAGCAGTGCTATCCATCCTCTGTGATGGCCGCTTTCGGCCGCGTGTTATTAGGCGTAACAGCAGCGATGAGAATGCGTAACAAGGTGGGTGCTCCCTTTTGGATGAGTCGCAGTTCACAACTCATGTTAAATGCATCGAGCACTGCCCAGCAACATTTCTCCTCGGGAAAGTGGAAACCTCCTTCCTTCGAAGACGCCTTGTCCATCTCTTCACCCACCATCGAGTGGCAGACCTCTTCCACAGCTACCTCCCGGATATGATGCCGAGCCATGTTATTTGAGTCTGGCCGCTTCACGGTGCTTACATCTCTGTTCTTCGAGTTGTGGACATTCTTCGGCTACAAAACATTTATGAGTCAGCTGTAACTGGACGGTATATCCTGCGTGGACCTTCGTTCTACCATCAGGGTGAGCAGCGATCATCGCTGTACGGACAGGCGTGTTTCGTGGGTCGCCTCGTACTGCATGTGCGAGTGAGAAGGCGATTATGTGGTAGCCTGAGCATTTGAACATCGTGTGCGTGCACTTACGGATCTGGTCTGTGTTTTCTTCCCAAGGTCGTTGAGCATGTCTCGTCAACTTTTGATTCTCTGAGGAGTCCGAGCTCTGGGTGAAATGCGATGAACGGTGCTGTCTTTGTCGCTTGTGTGGCCAGCAAGTGGCCGGTCCTGGTGGTGAGCAGTTTTTGAAAGAGCAACATGAACCATATGGTCGTATTGGTATTGGTCATCCAACGAGAATGGTTCCCATGCCATATAACAGTGTCGCTATATAAATAAAAAAAAGTGTATGCCTTCTCAATCCTGCACTCCCAAAGCTCTCAAAGGAATAAAATAAAAGAAAGCGAAATCGCCCTCTTTCATTTGTGAGTGGATACATGACACGAGCCATACAGAAGGATCCAGTATAACGAAATTCATAGACAATTACGGCGTTGAGGCCTTTTCCAGTAAAACTGCACCCGACCGTGTCCGCCAAGATGGTCTATGGCAGAGGCCTCAAACATGTCCTTCACATAGATAGCATCACCCTGCATCACCATGTCCATAATAATGACCAGCTTCTCGACCTTCCTTTCTGCAAGCAGGTGTCCTAGACTCTCAAAACCATCCTGATACCGAGAACAGAACATGGGAAGGGCTAGTATCTTCATCAAAACCGTCCATAAAACGAACCTCTAGCGTCTCTAAAATTCCCGTGGCAGGAATGACCTGAAGAGCAAGATCCAGGGGCGTATCGAGCTCCAGTTCGATTGTCTTGATAGATGGAAGGGTGGGGAAATAGCCTGGATAAATAGCGTCAATCCATGAGGATCTCATGCCACACACGAGCTTTAGGCAAGAAAACCATCTCAAGACTCACACATATATGAGAGAGCAGTTCTAGTTGACTGTCCCTGCTGATGGTATCGTCGTCTTCAGGGTCGTCGTAATGAGTGGCCCAAAAGATAAAGTTACGGGGACGCATGGATGTAGGGACGTGCGTCAGGATGGAGACCCCTAAGCTTCCCGCATACTGATCGCAGACAAGAGACGATAAACCGTGCGCTATTCCTCATCGTAATGGTCAGCACAGGCGGTCAATTCATGAATTTTACTCAACTCACCTTGCGCCCGCGGCAGGGCGAAGCATGGTCACCTCCATCTTATCAGTAAAGCGTCCGGGAGTAGGGCCGATAGACAACGGATACGAAGAAGGATCTACGAGAATGCGGACAGGACGGACACGGAGGAGGATATGAAGGTGAGATTGGAAAAAAAGTGGCGAGGATGACGAGGGTTGAAGAATGCATGTACTAATACCTTGTACATGTAGACATGGAGACTGTGCTCCATCTTGAAAACATCCTTGTTCGTGGTGAAGTCGCCATCTTGAAGGAGCTCGCTGCCATGAAGACCACCCATGTTTTCGACCCCCTTCCTGCGTACAATGTCGACGAAGATATGATCCTGCCTAAGGAGTATGAGGCGAGGCTCAAAGGTGCTACGATCGTAATGACTCATGTGTTGACTAAATGAATGGAAAGTATCAGAGGATTCATCTAGCCTTCTTGTGGCGAGGGCTGTTAGTGCTCTAGTGTAATAGCGGAATGGTGTCATAGTGGCCGAATGGTGATATCGGAGATGCCTGCAGCGAAGTTGAGCTCGCACCTGGGCCAGTTTAAGTATTCGTGGCTCCTTTTGATCATAAGCGTACTGAGGTGCGTGTCATAAAGTGAACATTTGTATCTACTTACCGCAGGAATAAGAATGAGATCACCTCAACGACGGCCTCTAACCGATGATGGCCTTTGTGCGATTCGGAAGACGCAAATTGCAACCTAACTATATCAGATTCTCACGTCTAGTCCCAAATGGACATAACGCGACTGTTTGCAGTACTCTGGTCACGCATGATGCACGAGACCATGTATGATGGCTAGCAGCGCGAACAATAAACAACTTGAACCCACTCCGAGCTTCCCTATGGCCCATAACTTCGATCAGACCGCTCTCGCTGAGCTACAAGAGAAGTTTACATTACTCGAGTCGAAGACAAACGCATGCTTAGACACTCATGAATGCCGCCTAAGTGAATGCGCTGAGAAGATCCAGGAGCTCCAGAGCATGGTCGACAAAGTCAAGCGCACTCAATCTGCTCTCAGCACCGCCCTCGCCGAATTTGAAATGCAACTCGCCAGCTCTTACTCGAAACTCGCGAACCAGACGGCCGAGCTCTCGAATACCATGGAGGGCGATGTACACCATATCAAGCATACCATGGATGCATTGGAAGCTCGGACCGACCTACGCCACGACAGACTTTGGAACATGGTACTAGAACAGACTGAACGCGGCTTATGCACACTGTGTGTGGGTGGTATTTATTTTTGTATAGCACTTCGCGAGACCCTGAATACACGTATTGTCTTCAGACGAGAAAGGTTCCTGCTCCCTCAGAGGACGTGATGGCACAGGCTCGTGGCCGTAGTGCACGGTAAGCACTGTTCATTATTAGCCGGATCTACCTGGAGGAGCTAATCCAATATTGCCCTCAGCGTTCGGGAATCATGGGAATCACTTCAGTCGGGCGAGCCGTGATTGATGTCGGTTATCTAACACCCCATGGTAAGGGCTGTCCAATAAAATCGGTGTTTCCATGTATTCATAGATTCTCTTTCCTTATGCTTAGGGCAAACTGACGGGTTATATACGACTGAATCACATTACATTGACACGAGTTTGAGCGTAACCTATACACCTTCCGTTTTCCGTCTTTGCCACTGCATGTTTCTCTTCCCAGGAAGGCCTTCAACGAGGCGACCTAAGTATACGACCTCATGATCGTGAGCTCAAAGGACAGAGGGGTGAATCAATATCCACAATTGATTGCGCAGTGCTAAAAGCTGAACGACATTCCGTGTGGGAATTGGTTACGATTCCATGAGTTTACGAATGAATCGTGTATAAATGATTTCTTTTGCGTCTTTTCTTTCAGCATGGACCCCCGCCTTCCTTTTTTGGATTATCGAGCAGAATTCACACGGTGCCCTGTGGCGGGTGGCCACTGGTGCACGCAGCATCGCTCACCTTTGCTTTTGCTCTCTCATCCCCTTCATACACTTCTTCGCACTCTGCATGATACTTTATGGGCCTATCATATTATTTGTCGATGTTCAGCCCGTACAAGATGTCCTATCGAGTCCTCAGTGCCATCGCCAATGCTTTCGGTCAGTGATAGCACCCGCCCCTTCTCTTTGCACCACTACCATCTTCCTCTTCGTTCGCTCCTCCTAACATATCTAGATACTCACACTCACACAAACTTCCTCAAGAACCATCTACAGTTGAACCAAGAAGGCTGGTGGGTTGTTCATGCTGATCTTCAGATGTGACACCCCAAAAGCAGCTCACGCGTGAGCTGCCGACTGCTCTACGCGTGTTGCCACATTATCTTCGTGTTTGTCTCTCGCTTTTCTCTCCTGACTTTTTTTTTGGCCTTTTTCACAGTCCTTGACCCGCTCGCTGGCTGTTATCTTGGAACGTTCAACCATTTCGTCTGCAGCGCCATTCACACACGTCTGCATCAGCCTCTACACGTCCCTCCACGTCTTCGGCAACACATCCACCCGACAATCCGACAAGCTGTTCAAGCGTCATCTTAGCACCCCAACGGGTGGGCGGCCGATGCTCCTCCATTGAACATATTGCTCACCAATTCATCCCACCGCACCATGTCCGTCAACACCAACTCGGTCTCTTGCTTCCTGAACCCGTATTCCCTCGATGGCCACGAACTGCTTCGGGTCTCACATCCCATCCGTCGTCAATCGACGCAACCATCTCATCTTGCAACCGGTTTAATATCAGTCGCAACGTCCGCGTGACGATCGGCGGTTGGAGCGTTGTCGGTGCGGGAATTGGCGGCGGTAAGGTTTCCTGTGCCTTTACCGTTACTCTTACCTCTGTCCTCATCATCCTCGCACACCGACACCGTTTTTCATCACAGCCTACGACGAGCAAAAGGCCTAGCTCAGCCTCATCGCCACCTCGCCACCGCCAGTCGCCGTCGCCCGTGGAGCAGAGGAATCGGAATACCGGAAGGGCCAAAGTGTGACCTGCGGGGAATCTGCACGGGACGAACTCATTCGAGTCTCACTCTGCAGCATCGGTCATGACACAGGACGAAGAAGACTGGGAGGACCACTGCAAGGGCGGCTACCACCCCGTCCACATCGGCGACTCCTTCTCCGACGGTCGCTACCTCGTTGTCAGAAAGCTCGGCTGGGCCACTTCTCCATCATATGGCTCGCCAAAGACTCGAAGTCCGTCCTCTCCTCACCCTTTTCATTCAGTTCACTTTAATTTAATCCATCAGCAGACTCAACCGCCATGTCGCCCTCGAGACCGTCAAGTCCGCCCCGAGATACACAGAAACAGTGCTAGACGAGATCAAGCTCCTCCAACGCCTCATCACCTCCACCACTCCTCCCGTCGTGCCCACCCCGTCCAACCCACACCCCGCGCCCCCGCCCTCCCAGACCCACCCCGGCCGATCCCACGTCATCTCCTTCCTCGACCACTTCAGACACAAGGGCCCGAACAGAACCCATGTCTGCATGATCTTCGAGGTCCTCAGCGATAACTTGTTGGGGCTCATCAAGCGCCATCAGCGCAGGGGCGTCCCGCAGACCTTGGTCAAGCAGATCGCGAAGCAGATCCTTGCTTGGGCTTGATTATATGCTTAAGTGTTGTGGTGTTATTCATACCGGTCAGTCATTCCTCCCTCCCTTCCTACATATCCTCTTTTCTTGCCTTTGCTTTGTCGGGTATATTTCAGCGTGTGGCGAGAGATGGTGTCGCTCGCTCCACCCCGCCACACTCGGCTCCCCACTTTCTCAAGGCGACACTCGTTCGTATCCGTGTCCACGAGTTATATTTGCCGCACACTGCCTTTCCTTCCATCACTGTGTGTTGCTAGACCGTCTTTGTTGTTGGAGAGTTAAGATCCGGGCCATGTTCATGGCCATGAGTACGCGTTACGCGTTCGGCAGACTTGGATGTGGGTGTGCATCGGTCACCGGCCAGTGTAGAACGCAGAATTCAGGTCGCTGCATAATGCATGACGGGCAGCAGAGGAGAACGAGCCGTTTACACCTAGGAGCGGATATATCGTTGCGTTTCGATCGTTCGTGCCGTCTCGGTATAGCCGGCCGTTGGATTTTGTTTGTGCACAATGGGCTTTGCGATGTTCACATCGCTCCCTGCGACTGCGTCTGTGAGTTATGCCACGTTCGGCCAAATGGGTTGAAGCTACATTGTGCGTGCACGGGCAAATAAAGGAGAAGGTGCTAATTCTGAGTGTTTGCGTTTGTGTTTTGCCCGTGTACGAGTCGACAGTCGATTGTTCGTTCACACCGTCTTGGGCCTCTGCGTCTGCGCTTTTCGACGCTACGTCTGCGTCTGTGTGTGGCACGGCGCATTTGGCCTATTAAAAGTCGGCAGAAACAAAATAACCTGTCGACCGCTGGCTGCACTATACCGCACCGGGGGGCAAAGGACAAGGACAACGAGTCGTTTGCGCTCAAGTGGGAGGCAGGCAGTGGACGGTTGGATGTGTTTCGATTGTTCGCGTCGAGAGACAGTGTGTGGTTGAAGTTGAATTGTGTTTGTATGCGCTTGCCTTGCCGGCGCTGCCGTTGACAAAGATCGCTGCCCTCGTCCGCGTTTGCGTCGACAAGTTACGCCACATTTCGACCAAGGGGGCTGGGCTCAGATGAGATTAAAGCTATGGACGGATCGCGGTCTTGTGCATCATGAGGCAGCAGAAGAGAAGGAGCCGTTTAGGCTCTCGCACTCAGTCCGTGGCACGAGTGACAGTGGACGGATGGATCGTTGCGCTTCAATTCTTCGCGTGTCCCCGATCGGACTGTGGGCGGATTGTGTTTGTATGCGTTTTTTGATAGCGATGATGAAGGTGGCTGCGCGATCGCCGTGTGCGTCTGTGGTGCGCCACATTTGTTTGAATATGCGGATCGTGAGCACGGTGAGTGTTAGATATCTGCCGATATGCGCTCCTTTGCACTGACCATTTGTATGGCACGCTTTCGTTGTCTTATTGGTATAGGGTATACCCACGCTGAACGAGGTACGTGCATATGATACATACGTATCTGTGCATCGACATCTAACCTTCTTGCGTTCGTCACGCTACAGTCTGCCAGTGTCGGAATTGATGAAAATGTGGCATTGTTTTCATGTAGTTCTGATAATTCAGTTCTTGTTTGCAAGAGGACTGTATTTACATCTGTCATCAACCTGACGGGAATCGTCTCCAGGCCATGCGAAAGCATGGCTATATAAAAGACAAGAATCAGCACTGTGCACCAAAATCCAGTTGAGTACAAATGACTTTACACGGGGAAAAAATAAGGTGGAATCGTACTGCCATGCTGGCCCTCCACTTGTATGATTTAGTTTAATTAACTGGCGAGATCAGATAAGCATGAAAGGAAACGCTCGACGAATTGGTCGGCATGGCACGAGGTGCATTCGAAGCTAAGGAGCGAGGAGGTAACACTACAGCAAAACTTCCAATCAGAATGACAGCCGCTGTCAAAACGATAAATAACCCCCAATATTTTTCGAGTGCGCCAAAGACAATATACTGTAGTAGTTTTACGACCAACTGTTCATCACACATCACGCGGGGGAAAATCTGAGGGTGCCGATGAGCTCCGATTAGAAATCGAGTTTCATCGGGCAACCCCAACCCTACAAATTTTCTAATCAGGCGAAGAGGCTGGTAGCGCTTGAAATGAACTGCAAAGGAGGAACGTACAAGCACCGGAGTGGCTGATGCCTGCATCCCTAATGCTCTAACCAAGAGTTAAAACGATCCCTCTAAGTCCCTCCTATCGTTCCACGAAAGTGTTGTCCGTCATCGTAGAGACAGAGGGTTGATGCTGTGCGAAAGGACGAGCCTTTGCGGGGACGCGAAAGCAGACGAGCACGACCCAAGCGAAGGAAAGCTTGTTGGCCAGGTGAGGCGGAGACCTAAACGGAATGCCAGGCATGTTTTTGATGCAAAATGAAGCAAGAGCTTCAAAGGTATGCGGGTACAGTTATGTGCAGGACGATGAAAGAGATGAGCGCGTCAGTCGGCGCGGAACACTTTAAGGCAGGCGTAGTGCCCTTCTAGATTGCTTCACACATACAGATTTTCTCTCTTCTTCCTTCGACTGCCTTCTTTCCTGCTCACGAATGAGATTTGCGGCCTTCGATGACCGCCGTCCCAAGCCATGGTTCATGTCCACTGATGCACGGGCTCTTCCAAGCAGTGCGCAAGACCTCCAAGCTCGTGCAAGCTCTTGGACACCTTGGAGCGATTTGCACCTTTGCTGATGACTCATGATCACCAATGAGGAAAATTCACAGACATGCTCTACCTTCGAATTTCTATTTTTTACGACCAAACAGGTCCACTCAGCTTGAATTGGAGTGTAGGCAAATTAAAAAGCAAAGAATGATAAGTGATCAAATGAGAGAGATGAGTAAAAAAAAATTCGGACTCTACACGAATGAACGTGCTGCATCGAGAGTTGAACTCGAGACGCCCCCTCCATATATAGACGGCGTGTCCACCAACTGGACTATTACAGCTCAGGTATTTTTCGTACACACAGTTTCCATACAGTACTACAGCGTACCCAGATGTGCAAATTTTGCGGCGCTCGAGCTACTGTACTCTTTTATCATGCACCTGTACCAATATAAGTACACAGGCATGTGACGAAAACTCTAAGCTACGCTTGACGATTTTATCGGGATTTTTTACTAGTAGGCTATGCTGTCGTCGACGTCGAGCGCGTCGACGAATGCTTGCACCCAGTAATGCAAATTTTCACTTTTGGCGGGCCGGAAGCCTTCCGACGCGCGTCGCAAGTCAAAAGTGCATACTTTCGACATTTTCGAGCATTTTGGCGGGACATTCTCGATTTTCGCTAAACAAAGTACCCAGAGACGATAGTATACTCTATTTACATGTTGAGGAATATTTTCAGGACGAACGGGGCGAAACTCGAGGAGTAAAGTCCATGCTGTACAGTTCTAGGCTGCCGTGGCGCACAGCCTGCTCGTGGCATACATTGACTACATCAGGAAAAACACCCCTTCCTAAACTCTGCCTGAATCGGAAGTCGCATCGCGGTGGTGGCGCTGGCCTAAGAGCTGCCTAAGAGCTGCCTAAGAGCTGCCTAAATCTGCCTATAGTTACGGGGTCACCTCGAATGCGATTCCCAAGCTCTGTGTGCGTACTTTTAAATCCCTGACTGTTTAATGCTAAAACCACTTGTCTATACGACTCTCTTGGAGTATGCATGTCAATATTGTTGTGTCATTGATCTACTGTACATACTCATACTAAATACATTGCGAGGGACACGAAAATCGGTGAATAAAAAGTCAACAGCATAACGAAGAATACTGGGCCTCAAGTGAACGTGTGATGCGCCATGGCCATGCCAGTGTGCCTAGGAAAGACCGTGAACCAGACGGCAGGAGACTTGCACGCGCAGAACAAGGCTGTCCACGAAAACGACGTACCTCGCCTAGTCTGCCGAAGTATACATCACGCAGCCTCCACCTATCCTTTCAATTCCTTCGCCAAATCCTCCTGGTCCCTATTCCTCGGCTTCGTCTGCGCCACCCTCCACACGTCCCTCTGTTCCCCTGCCCTCTTGAAAAACCGCTCGCGCTCAAACACCGGAACGTGAATTCCGTGTCGAAACAGCTTAGTTCGTCTAGGGCATATCTGCTCGAATAGTGCTAGCCCTATCACGAAGAAAGAAGATTTAGCAACAATAACGTGATAGGGAAATAGAAAACGATACGCACATAGCTGTTGTTGGGCAACGTCAAGGAATGCTCACCGACACCGGCACGGACGAGAGACTTGACGAATTCCGAAAGGGCCGGGTGAGTGGGATACGCAGAATGTCCCGATATTGATACCCCGCCTCAAACCCATACCGCCTCACCAACGTCCCCCCGTTCTCGTCCAGCGCCCAAGCATGAACTCACACACCCCCCTGTCCCTGAATGCCACATCAATGGTGGAATACGAGGGGAAACCGAGGTAGACAGTGCACGCGTGGTCGATGTTGAGCGTGGGGGGCTTGCGCTCGAGGTAGCCGGAGAGGTTGAAGGTGCATCTGGGAGTTGGAGATATGCGCGGCGAGGGGGATGGGTTTGAGCAAGCGTTGGTCGGCAATACGTTCATAGAACCCTTCGACGTGAACGCCTAGGGGCGTTTGGGCTTGCGGTTGGAGTTGGATGCTAGGGAGAGGGAGCGGGCGGGAAGCGGGTGGGGGAGGCGGAGGGGTAACGGGTGGCATGAGTGAAGAGAAGGGTAACGGACGGGGGGTCAGCGTCAAGGGCTTCGGGGGAAAGAGAATGGAGGACGGTCGGCGTGTAGAGGCGCTCACCTTTGCCGAACTCTTCGCTCATGTATTTGGAGAGCTTCGTGAACTCGCACTTCGATTTGGTAGTGTCAGTGTCGACCATGAGGTTCTCGATAAGGTGGCCCTGCTCAAGAAATAGGCGACCTTCGTGATACAATGGTGTTAGGATAAAAAGACAAAAGAAAAGAAGATAGACACACCTTCCAGCCCGGGATGAGGACGTCCGATATTTTATGGATGACACCTGTGCGGGATGGCGTGTTCTGAAGATAGCGTTCACGACTGAGGCTGTCTTGGCTCCCGCTGGCGTTGATCACGATCATACCATACGTTTGACGTGAAGATCTGAGCCCTCGAGGGACGCGTAGGTGGATGCAGTCCGGTTCGTGAGGAAGGCTCAGACGACGTCATCGTCGATGTGGTGCAGGATGACGTTTTCGAGGACGGGTTTGGAGGACGCGGACAGGAGGCGGTCGCTCCGAGTATGTTGAGACGTTGAAAGGCATCGTTACGCGAGATCAGGAGCACCGTGCGTGGGGCGGTCTTCAGGACCTCGACGAGGGAGGCGGAGAAGATGGTGATGAGGTAGGAGGAGAGGTTGAGGTCGAGGAGGGAAACAGCCATTGCGTCCGCTTGGGGGACGAGCGATCGGGGAGATGAAGTGGATTAAGATGTCTCTTGGAGCACTAGATTTGCGTGAGTATACATGCAGCGTTGTGTTACTATTAGTCGAACAACCGACTTCCCAGGGTCTGCGATGAGGAGTACTAGGACAGCACATACGGAGCTAGCTATCGCATCGTGGCAGGAGAAAGGAGGTGGCGGAGGTCGATGAGGAGCTGGTAAGAGAGTGTGAGCCGGTGGCGGACGAAATAGAAAACAGTGATAAAATATCAACGAAAGGGAATGACCTTACGAGTGCTTTACACATCCGCCGGCGTCCCGAATTCATGCAGTCCACCCTTCGCAGCCAGGACCTCAGCACTTGGCCGCTCATGCTCCCTCCTCACTGGCCACATTTCCGACTCCGAGTCTTGATGTGACGGTTCGATCAATATGTTGGGGCCGCCGAATACGATATCGCATTCGGGTATGCAGTGAATAATGCGGGCGGGTGGGCTGGTGATGATGACGAGGTTAGAAATGCTGGATGATGGGCCACAGGTTACGCAGATGGCTACTATGTCTGATTGGGAGGAAAGGGAGGTAGCGGAGATCGACGAGGAGGTGCTGACGAGAGAGTTTGCGGCGGCTGATGAGATTGAAAGGGACTCACCTGAGCCATCATTCTGCTCCTCCGTGGCGGCTGTACCTTTCGTCAGGCCTTCCTCCATTGCCATACCCTTTGTACTCGCACGGCTGTTGTCCAGGGAGTTCGCGTGCACGATGTAGGTCGAGCAGGAGACGAACAAGAGGTGCGTCATCGCCACAAGTTCGCCACGTGTTTGTTTGGTCGTGCACGTGTTTGGCTTGTGTTGACTTTCGCGTCGAGTCGCGACTTGCGCTCGTTCCTCCCCAATTCCTCCCTCCCTCCATCCTTCGCTGCTACTCTTCCACTCTCCCTGACTGGTTCGCCCTGTCTTCCCTGACCCCGTCGGGCTCCCCTTCTTCTGCCTTCGCTAACAGCGTACTCACCCTCGCCAACCCGTCCTCGTCCCGTCATCATCGCTCAACGACACCCGCAGCCAGCACGGTCAGCCCCATCTTCTTCCATCACCTGCCGACATCTATTTGCTCGCCCACTTTGCTCGCACACTTGACTCGCTCACGCTCCTTTCTACCTCCTCATTTTATTATACGCAGCTTACGATAGATGACGACGCGCTCATTTTAGTATGGTAACCGGGACTAGACAGCTCGTTAAATGAAGAGTTGCCGTGCCGCGCCGACCCGATGCGAGCTCGGACCCCAGAAACTGCTCTTTCCGGAAAGTAATCTGGCCAGTTGTAGCCTTTTTCTCTCTTTCCGTTGTGCATCCCCCGGCACAGCTGGTACAGTCTCTCTTATACGATAGAGCACACAATATATATGTTGTAGGTTGGCTATCTATCTTTGCACGTCCCGACTTATACATTGCCGGTTCCTGTGGTAGTACTAGTATACTTATAGAATACACATTTGAACGTTGAGCCAGGTTCGCACATCATCGTGTGTGGATAAATGAATTCTTCGCATGCCATAAAGCACTCTCAAAATCCCGGAGAATATTGAAGGCGAGGTAAATATCTGACAACGTTGTTTCAGAAGGCCACCTCTGCCAACACCGATTATTCAAACTCCGTTCGGAACATTGCGCTCACGCCCCTCTCACTTCTTGGATCTCTGCAAATACTTTCTTCGAACGAACGAGGATTTTAGGTGCGTATCTGACCTGCTGCAGCTGCTTGTACTCACCATGCCATATTCTGGACCCCATCAGACAGCAATATTTCTGGTATGTATACGGCGCATTGTTCAGCCACCAATCAATCACTGTTGGCATATCTTGGGCATCTCTTCCTCGCTACGTAGATATCTGGTCTGCAATGCACACGTTCCTGGTGGAGCCCTGTGGAGCCATCATCCAAGTGTACATACTCGAACAGCCTAATCTTGTGGGTCTGCGTGATTTTGCAGAAGGTGGCGAAGCGATAAGCAACGCTCGGAAGAGTTTGCTAACACACAGTCGAAGGCGAGCATGTCTATGTCTTTTATTTTGAACAAGTTCTATTCCTTTCCATTCATCCTTCAATAAGCCCTCATTGTTACTCACCAATCACCCACTTACTCACCCTGTCGCTTGTAGAAACGACATCAATAGTATAGCGCCATCCCGTAGCCCTCGTTTGAATATAAAGCGGTATGCGGGATAAGCTACCCGAACTGTTAGGGGTCGGTCGAGGTAGAGATTGAATAGGGGGACTCTTCTACATCGCAGTACGATTTCGCTCGTAACTTTTCTCTTGTTCTCCCCATCGCTTCTGGGCATTTTGCTTGTCTCGGAGCTCGGTACCAGCTCGAATGATGCTCGCGGGACCCTCGTGTCGGTACCCACCAGGTGTCCCGTATACCCACTTGCGTTGACGAACGGGCTGCGATTCGTTAGTATTTTCTTTCATTTCTGTCGATATTAAGGTTTCGCGGGCCTCTTTCATTTAACTTCTTCACATTTTTTGAAGGCATGCGAGATTGCGTCCTTGGACACGTAGCGTTGTCAGCCGCCCTCACCCACGCAGCCGCCCCTTCCATGCTACCGATGTGTTGTGGAAACCATGATGTGTCGAAGACGCCTGCCTCAATTAGACTCGACTGCATGCGCCGGGCGAATGGCTGATTGCAGGCAGGCGCAAGGGCGATGCGAAGAACAAGAATAAAAGGAGGAGATGAGGGCGTAGAAACTCAAACACACCGGTACGCCGTTCCCCATTTTATTTCGTTGCTGTTCGATTCTCCCTCCGAGGTCCGGATCACTTGGCTGGGACTCTGTCAGCGTGAGCCTTCGCCGCTTCGTCGAGGTCGATGACGATGCTCTGAAAGCTTTCCCGGTCCTCAACGTGCATGTATCAGGAAAAAGGGATGGGGCTATGTGGCGCTACAGAGGCTACAGAGCCCGGATAGCCCCGTTGCACGCCCCCCCTGTACATTGCACCATGTAGCCTCCCGCAAGGCTACCGTAGCACTACGTAGCACTTGGTGACGGCTACTACGGTAGACCTCCATAGCACTCCATATAACATCTGTAGCAGGTTTGTAGCATCACATATTGGGCTGTATCCTCATATTGCTGTACTGGTTTTCACACTCAGATATACGGACATGATGTGTAAAATAGGCTAGTATTGCATCGAACCGAGAGTAGCAAATAGTACCCTATACATACGAAGACTACTCGAGCCACAACAACTATTATCCATACAATCCCTGCACAATGCCACATCCATCCACTCATATAAGCACTCTCCAGTACACCAGGTAATTTGGATGCATAAGACAAAGAGGCAGAGTACGATAAACAGGTGACAGGAGCTAAACAACCTGCACGCTGCCATCAAGCTATCGCTCTGCACGACAATCACCGACATGTGTGATGTGGTTGCAGATATCGTCGGCTCTCACACCGCCATCAGACTGACATTGATCGCGCCGCGTAAATCTACGTTGTCCACCAGCCCGGAGAGCCCATGTCATATGACTCTACACAGTGCTCGACGATGACAGACAAGACCGCAATGAGACTGACATACGCACCTTCATAGAGTTCGCTCTGCCAGTGTCCACGCTAGTCATCTCGCTACCCATCCGCCCTGCATCACGCAACTCTCCAGACCCTTATGTTGCGGGGTTCTGTGGTACACACGCGGCCGGTCTATACTTTGGGTGCGCGATAGGAGGAGCCTGCGGAGTTGCATGAGCAGCCACCGGCAAACATCAGCATTGATGTCGCGTCGTGGCAAATTTGATGGAAACGTGCAAGATGATTGGCTTACCTATCGAAGAACATTATATTCTCTACTGAGAAGAAATCACGATGGTCTAGAGACGAGGAAGAATGAGATACACGACTGACAGTGGGTGACTTTCCGTAGCAGTCTAGGAGTGTTTCTATACGCACAGAAGCACAAATAAGAGGCTCTCAGCCAATCAAAAATCGATCTGAGCCTCTTTTCTGTGTTCTAGGTCTCTAGAACGTGCACAAACCCCCTACGGAAAGTCACCCAGTGAAGGAACGTACCTTTACCCTAAGTGTACCCCCGCATAATCACCATCTCCTACTGACTCAAGCATATACGGCCCATAGCGTCGCACAGATAACCAAAATGAGCGGTGTTGCGATCACGACAGCTCAGACGGAGGAGGATGTGAAGGGCGCACCGATCTGACCCAAGGTTTTGCTAAGATGCTCTTGAGGCGGCAATCCTTTTCGGTGGAAGTCCTTGAGTTGGTGAGACGATCTGAGACGTTATCGGCACAGACTGGAGAGATGGGGAGGGACGCAGTGGAAGGTAGGATGGCGAACCAAACCTCCTTGATGGTTAGGTACCAGGTAACTTATCTCGAGAAACTTACAGGATATTCGCCTTTCCGGGCGCTTCCGCAGCCGTCGATCACATATTGATCAGCCGGCCGCGGCACGGCACAGCCACGCCACGTGTGTCCACCTGCCTCCGTTGGGCGTCGCGCGCCGCCACTTTGCTTCCAGTGTGCGAACTCGAACGCTCTCTCGTCGTTCTCTCTCGTCTCAGAGCTTTCGCAGTATATGTGCTTATATAATATGTATTTTGCCTCATACTTACACTGAATGATCTCTGATACCTGGAGGTGTCATTTATATACGAGTTTTTTTCTCTATTTGGCTCTCAGTCCTTGTGCCACAAGGAACTTCAGTAGCAATCCCTTGCCCAAGACCCTCATGCATATCTGTAGATGTGTATGTAACACCTTGGAGATTAATTCTCCAATATGAAGTTATAGAAACCCTCATTGTAGAGGAAGAGTCTGGAGAAACCATTAATTGGGCATTAAAAGTTAGAATGAGTGGCACTGTGGCCCGAGAGATGTATCTCGTGTGCTGCCAGCCGCACGAAGGAATGCATGGTAGCGATACGAGGCTTCAGCACAGCGAAAGTACTCCCGATGTCAAAAAAAAGACCGAACAACAGATCGTGATCGTGAGCACGGGCAAGGAAAGTATTAGCGAAGGAGCTCACATGTTGACGAGGGATGCCGAACTTACTGGATAAGTTGCCAAGGGCTGTCGTTTGGCAGCAATAAGTGCAATAAGTTCGGCACGTACTTAAACTTACTGGAAACTTACTGAAGAAGGCTTCGAAACTTACTGGCGATCAAGTCCAGTAAGTTTCTCGCAAGCGAGATGAGTCCGCAAAGATTCGCGGCACTGTGGCACCGCTTTCAATTTCCTCGTCGCTCATTGTTCTCCGGGCCCTTGCAGTAATTCACGCCCATTCGCTGTCTGGCTCAGATGCCGAAACGGATTTTCACAAAGCCGAAGACCTTTTTTCTTCGCCTGCGGCGCCTGGTTTATTGGGCCACACCACAAGGCTCCCTGCAGCGGTTGTTTGGCTTGCGATCTAAACACAGACGCAAGTCTCGAAGACCGTCAAATTTAGGTCCTAATATGTATCCTACGCAAACGGAACCCATCTGGTTTCTACTTACCTTTGCCCTCGAAAGGTGCAGAGTCCGTACGCGGATAGGCCTGAGAATGAGCGCAGATCCTGGTTCTGAGCCATCGCTCTCTCCGCACATCCCGTCGCTTAGCTCATCACCAACAGCCCGATCACCCGCGGCCACTTACAGTCGTGGACAGCCAAACTTGACAAATTTGAGAAAGGCGTGAGAAATGTCCGATAGGTACCGGAATCAACAGATCTCGTTGAGAGGGTCCTGGGGAATATTTTTCAGAAGAATTCCACGAGCCGTTCTCTCCTAAAACAGCAATCTTTGGGGGGAAATCCCCAAAAATTTGGCGGACCCCCAAAAAGTTGTCTAAAAATCGTGTGAAATATGTGAATCGACTCCTTTTGAGGAGTCCAATATGATTCCGCAATCAGATCCAAAAAATCGCCTAAAATGCGGCCATAATTGTTTCTGCCACCCGCCACCGCCACTGCAGCAATGCGGGGCCGAGCTCGAGTCTTTCGAACTGTTGAACCGCAACAATATTATATCCTTGACGATACCCGACGTCGAGGACACAATGAGAGTGCTGAGGGCACTGGGCACAACTTTGGGCATTTGCCCCAGTCAAGGTCGACCCATGCCAGGACTGGGAACTCGGTCAGACTCCTGGCAGAGTCCTGCAAGGCTTGCAGAAAGTATATCTGGGCATGTTTCGCTCGGTTCAAGCATTTTATCGTAACTAACTGACCTTCAACAGGAAACTAAGAAAGTGGAATACTTGCATATGCTTTTCTGTACGAGTGGCAGCCCAGCCAGCTCGTAAATCCGGTTATAAATTCGGTTTTTTTTGGCCAAAATTTTGGCGGGTCCCAAAAAGGCGTGGGAAAATTCAAACGACATCGTTTTTAGACGTTTCTCCATGTCCTGAGTCCAAATCTGTCATCAGAAAGTCAAGTTTACGAGCTGATCAGGCCCTGCAAATATTTTCCGTTTTTGTCGAGTTTGGCTGTCCACGACTGTACACGAAACTTACCGGCCGGTGTAAGTATTTCTGATTATACTGACTTACCATACCGAGTCAGAGGAGTATATACAAAGTGCAACAACACACCTTGATCGGGTACGGCGGGTCCGAGACGAAGTGCGACACCTTGAGCGGAAGCTGCACACTGTGTCGCAGATTGATAAGCATGGGCTGCGCTTGTCCGCGCCATCACAAAAGGGTTATCGCTAGTCTTGTCCAATTTGGGCAGTTTTGGCGGGGTGACCCCCAAAGACCATATATGGAAATTCTTGATAACGCGAAAGCCATGATCTCATCTAAGCGAAGCGATAACCGTAGGTGGCGCAAGCTGGCGTTCACAGATCTCATCTCTTCGTACCGTCCCGTTTCCATTCTTGTCCTTACTTTACCATGAGCAGGACGTGCCCTCGTATCTGTTATAATCGTGGGCTGCGAAATTTTACATTGCTTTGGCTCGAATTATCACACTAGAGCGTTTTCGCAACCAGGCCAAACAGCTGTCGCTGCGACAGCGGCAGAGTGAGTCGGCGCAGGCGCTTCGTTGGCGCCATGACGAAATTGTCGTTTGGGATGCTCCACGCACGGTTAATGGTCCTGTCTCCTCCAGGAAATATAATCCAAACATATTTTTGACCACTGAAATGTGTACAACACACGTTGTATTGCATGTGGTCCATTTTTCCGGAATTCTTTACAGGAGGATACGTGCTCGCCACAAAGGCAGCCACCAGGAGCATCCAGCCGTGGGAGGTGCTGTCAGGCTCGCTCCACAACAGATCTTAGACGGACCTCGACAGCTCCACCGGCGCAACAGCTGTCGCACTCGACAGCGAAAACGCTCTACTTATGGCATGTTCTACAATGAATATCAGATATGATGTCGGCCTTAGTATTTGCTCTGAGTCCAGCACTTCTCGTAAGTTCACACACTCAATAGCGCTCTCAGAACCATCATATACATACCCTGCACTGAATTTCTCTCACTCTTTTAGGAATATATATAATGGGCTGTCTGCAAGCGAGGCTTGCGAGAGTCCTTTCCGCCACAGTGGCCCTGGCCACTGTTGCATCTTTCGTCCAACTCAGTCTGTGCCGGCCTTTCGCTGATCTTTGTGAGATGCAGATTAATTATCTCCGATATCAATTTTACGGGCTCTTCACGGACAAGAATGCTGACAAGTTTCATTGATCAAGTGGGGGGCGGACGTCCCGGTTTGAAAGCTATGCACTTCTCTTATACTCTTATGATCACAATTTTGTGTCGCAAATACAGCATGGATGCAGGATAGAATGGCAGAGTAAATTTGTTATGCACAAGCAGGAAGAATTCAGCAGCAGAGATGAAAACCTACACAACTTGTCTGTGCCACCCTTGCGTGTGGCACCGAGCTGAGAGATCCGACGCGACCCAGAAATTTCCTTATATGGTCTTTTGGGGTTGCCCTGCCAAAGTCCCAAAAATTGGAACAGATCTTATATAATGATTTCTTATATAAGGTCTGCGCAGGAGACTAAGTAATTCGAGCAAAAGAGAAAATCTTCTCCCAGCAAGGTTGCTGCTGCCGACGGTAGCGCTACCTTCGAACCAATCACTTGGATGACATCCCGATCTCTTTTTTGGCTCACCATCCCGATACTAAAACACGATAGCAGGCATGCGCCCAGTTTGACTTCCGAAAACCTCGAATGATTTCTCAGTCAAGTTAGTATCAGTTGTATTAGGTGAATTTTAAAGGGAGATTAGTGCAGCCGGCACCTATTTTGATCATACTCTTGAGATTCTCAATGACCTCCCTTCATGGCATCTGCAGCGTAACAAAAGTAGAGTACTTTCTCAAGTAAGGGTCATAAGAGGCCACAACACTAGCAATGGATGGCCGTTGCACTCCAGGGCCTGCATAAAATCCTTAGTGTTTGAATCTAAAATACTGCTACAAGAAGGAAACTCACCGGGATGCGAGACATTGGCACCTGCACATTCAGAGTATTAAAGATGTAGATGGACATTGACTTGAAATACAAGACGAACCAATGATCATGGTTGGGGTCTGGTTGATCAGGTTGCTTACTGGTCCACGTGCTATGGAGTTGACTCCTCCGAGTTTCGCGTTGACTCTGTGTTTTTGAGAACTTAGCCTCTAAACGAGTCATGCATATATTTGGTACTGACTTCAATGCAACATTGTTGTTGTACTGATTGTTGATGGGCCTCAACTTCATCTTCCTCTGTTACGCAAAACAGATGAGCGATGCACCAATAGAATGAAAAGATATCACTCACAACACACTGGGTAGGGACACCATTGGCGCTATCCCCCCACAGTTTTACGAGACGCCAGAGCTCTGCAGCGCTATCAGGCAAAACAACAGCGACAAGCAACGGAGGTGACTTAGGGTTGTTCCAATCAGCTAAATATCTCTTTGCGTTCTCTAGAGTCTGTCCCAATAAACACAAATTCAGTACAGACAGAAGATCAAGGAAGGAATGCACATACTGCCCAAGCATAGCTTGGATTGTCATCTAAGACGGCACTGGCAGGTTGACATTCTAACGTGTATAGTTCAGAATATCAACAATAAGAGCAAACGATAACTATAGACAAGAACATACCCATCCCTAGTAATTATGCGATTAGATATAGGCAGTAGAACGGGGATCAAGAAATGAAGCCTATTTACCGAGAGCACGACATGCGTTCAGAAGCTCGACTGCAAAATTAGCGGCCTCTTGCGGGGTACCTGCGAGGTTGACGACAACCCATTTGACCAGACGACCAGGCGAAAAGAACTGGTTCCTGAGGACATTCCAGTTTCTGGGGCAAGATTTCTATCAGGAGGGAATCAGGATGTAGTTGACCTATATTCAAATAAAGATCACTTACACCGACAGTGTTAGCCAGAACACTGGAGGCGTACGCGACCTGTGGTGCATCCAGCATCCTCCCTTTGATCTCCATGGCGCTCATGCCGACTTTAATCCCAGCTAATCCCAAGGAATCACTTTGATGGTAATTAAGGAACTAAAGGGAAGAAATAGATCAATGAGTATAGCCATGAATAATCCTTGCTCAAAGAAGGGACACTCACTGAGCTGTTAATGCCTTGCTCGATAATTTGAAGCCGGTCCCTGGGGTTCTTAGCAGAGAAGTCCAACACAGTTTTCATGTTCGCAGGGGGAACCTTTTTTCGGTACAACTGGCCTTGAGCCCAGAAACAAGTCAACATCAATGTCGTCGGATATGACAACAAGCTCGTACCAGGTATAATGACGCACACCTCGGGTGGAACAACGGCATCGCCTGCAAATCCTATGCCCCACCCCGTTGGGAAACGCATGGACTACCCGTGGGCTTTTTGGTAGTGTTGCTTAAAGTTGTGTGATGAGTCGGACAAATGCAACAACAGAATAATTCTACAGTCTGAGATCTGAGAACATACCTGAACAGTCCAGGATTTGTTTCCAATTTTGAGCTCGTAGAGGCCAGCCTGTGGAATAAGATCTTTAATAGGTCGGGGGTTCTTCTGACGGTCCGTCGGTGGTACGGTGGTGATAATGCGACTACCCTTTAGAACTGACTTGAGGAGTTTCCACTCCTTTGAACCGGGATGCATCATCACGAGCTGACCAAGATCTCTAAATCCAAGGTACTGCATTGCAAAGTCAACAATTTTGATGTTTTTGTACACGACAGCAGTCGACATGTCGACATTGCTGGCAAGCTTGTGTCAGGGTGCGTCAGACTGAATATACAAGAGACATAAACATACATTATCATGCGCCCGAGGGATGGACGGACAGATCTGTCAGATTCTCGAGGAATTAGCATATGATCAGCATCCTGATATACAGGTGGACTCGCTGAAAATATCCTCTCCAGAGCTCGAGCCCGATATTCCCGAGTGTCTGCGTGTCTTGATTATGGAAGATAGAGCGGGTGTTATAGGTCTGCGTGGCACTAATAATCAATATATAAACTGGGAGTCAGCGGGAGAACAAAATCAGTTATGTCAAGCATTCTGTGGATGAACTGCATCGGCGCCTGGCAAATCATCGCTTGCACAAGGTTTATTGCCGTCTGGGCCGAAGGTCCACCTTGTCCTTGAATGACAGCATTGAGGGTCCTATGGAATATCACAGTGTATCAGAGGATCTGCTCATATTCCGGTCAGAACTGAGCACACGCACATGAGGTCGACTTTGGTGACTCGCTCGATACGGATATTGTTGATACCCGCATTAGGCTTGTCCGGCCTTATTCTCCTACCCATCATGACTTTGAACTGTACATAGGCATTTTTACAGTCAGCCATTCACCAAAGATGTCAAAGCTGAGGTCAGTGTGATTTTAACTTACTGTTCTTAGCGGTTGCCCTTCCAGAATGTCGTACAAACAGTATAGATTCCTCCGACCATCGTACGCGGCCCGGCGCCCCCACGGAATATTTGGGGATAAGTTGTATGGAATTTCTCGATGATCTCGCACAGGCGACGAGCGTTGAGAGGGGATTTTCCATTGTCCAGTGCAGGCATGCCTTTCTTACCTATGACTGAGAATCAATGCAGCCCAGAGAGAGCATGTCAATAAACATTGACACATATGATGCGGCCTCACATCTCACGCACTGACTAGATACCATAAGATATGTCAATGAGCTATCAAACAGAGAGTAAATGGAGAAAAAAAGCAATGAAACTCAACTGTACCATCAAAGTGGAAGTACTCCTTTGGGGTGTCTGATCTCACCCTAGTGAGATCCATTTCCACAGCGAACGCATTAGTTTTTACTCGAACTTTCAGCCCCTTCGTTCCTACCGGGCGATACATTTGCGACATATCGGTAAAGTCGATACACGCAAGATGGGACTGGCAAGCAAGGACGAGAAGATGGAAGAGAGTCAACGGGGATTCACAGGGCTACTTATCCGCCAGTACATGTAGCATAATTATAATTCTACCTGCTAGTGATAAGAAGTTCCTTGACGATTGTTCCTCAGGAAAATAATAATAAATGCCAGTACTGGCATGGCCATAATACTGGCGACAAAGTGTCATTCCCTTTTGTGACTTTTTCAGTCACTGTCAGAGAGTACTCTCATGTATTCTGGGGGCTCGTCAATGCACGAACAGTGGCCTCATTGCTTCGTTGCGCTTTCCGCAATGGACTCGTTGCACTATCTGCAATGGGCTCGCAGTACTTGGACACAGAGCCAGAATACTGTCCACAAAGTGTCATTCTCTTCTGCGACTAGGCTAGTCATTGTCAGAAAGCACTGTCATGTATTCTAGGGGCTCATCAACGCACAAATGTTGGCCTCAATGCTCCATTGCGCTTTCTGCCACAGGCTCGCTGCACCGGACTGTGTGTCCAAAATACTGGTGAAAGTGTGTCATTCCTTTCTGCGACTAGGCTAGTCATTGTCAGAAAGCACTGTCATGTATTCTAGGGGCTCATCAACGCACGAATGTTGGCCTCAATGCTCCGTTGCGCTTTCTGCAACGGGCTCACTGCACTGGAGCGCGTGGCCAGAATACTGTTGACAAAGTGTCATTCCATGCCGTGACTAG